AGACTGGAGGTTATCAATTTCGCAGTCATCATAAACGGCATATTCAAATAAGGTATATTATTCAAATGGTAGGTACATTGGATGACATATAATACCTAAATCCTAATTGTAAGTACATTAAAATTAATGTAGGTATATTGGAATAGATAATTATGTACACTTTTCATACTAGGTAAATTATATTTTTCATAAAACAAATAGGTACATTATTTTTTCAACATAATTAGTATGTACAGTTTTATTCATAAACAATTATAAAGTGGATTATTAGTCATGTATAATTCATAAAAAGAAAATAACATAAACATTTTATTAAACAAACCAATTACCCAAATTTGAATTTATTGTTAAATTTTTTTTAAAATGTTCCAAAATTAATTCCTACATCTATTACAACCATTTGGAGATATTTCCAAATTCAACATCTGTCATTATATACAATCCAATTAAAAACTGTTTCCATATTGATTCCTACATTAATATACAAAATGCAATAATGGCTTAGTTGGGGGTATTTTTGGAATCTGAAAAGTACAATAAATCAGATTTTATGCTTAATTAGGTAACTTGCTGAGTTGGATCCTAGTCATGGGTTTTTACTTATACAAATTGGGTATTATTTATAGGAACAAAAAGTGAAGGGTTTTAGGTATGGCAAATTGAATTTAAAGGGTGTAAGCCAAATTTACTATATAATTTATTCCAAGCATTTCATTAACTGCCATAATTGTAATTAAAACTCCCTATTAATAGCATATCAATCACCCCATTTCTTTTGGTTGCCATTCCCTCTAACAGATGGCCCCTTAAAATTGCACATAAAAAAAAATATGTAAATTACATATCCAATAATGTACATATGAAAAATATAAATATAAATATATACGCATAAAAATATAGGTATATTATTTACCCAAAAAAAATTAACAAAAATAGGTCAATTATTTTGTAATTGAAATTTCTATACATTTTCATAAATTAAAAATAGATACACAATAATTTATAGAAAATAGGTACGTTGTATAATTGAAATTTATGCACATTTTTTATAAATTAAAAATAGGTACATTATTTAGAAGAAAAAAATAAGTTCATTATACTAGGTAAATTGTTTTACTAGGTATACATTATTAGAGAAAGAAAAAAAAAGGTACATTATTTAGAGAAAAAAATAGGTTCATTATACTAGGTAAATAGTTTTACTAGGTACATTATTAGAGACGAAAAAATAGGTACATTATTAATTCAAAAATAGATTACTAGTTGTAAAATAGATTACTAATACTTTAATGTGGAATTTAATATTTAATTTCAAATAAGTTTCTAAATTAGTTTCCACATCCATTACAACTATTTGGAGATATTCCCAAATTCAACGGGTGTCATTAGTTACATCCCTCATAACACATTAACTTATAAATAGGGGTAGTTTTGGAATCCGATAAATATAATAAATCAGATTTTAAGTTATATTAGGTAACTTACTTAGTTGGATCCTAGTCATCGGGTATTATTTGAAAAAATTGGGTATTTTAAATAGAAAACTAAAGGAAAGGGTTGTAGGTGATTTTAAATGAATTTTATGGGTCTAAGCTCAATTTGCTAAAAGGGTCGTATCTGTATCTAATATATTTGGATGGATTGTTTGGCCAATAAATCTGACCTTTTTTCAATTGACCAATCAAGTTATGGTGCTATATAATATGACACTTCTAAATCTTATTGGAAAGGCTTTGTTAATTATTATTCCCTACTTACTGCTATTCACACATTCTCCCTATTTGTTATGAGAAATTATTGTATGGTACTGAAATACGGTTATATAATACTATAATTCGAAAGTAAAAATATCGGGGAAAAAAATTTGAAAGTAAAAATGTGGAATCAGTAGCGTATTCTTGTAGAAACAGTACGAATGCATTTAAACCATCAAGAAACAATTAGTCACTTTGACCAAAACAAAACCAAGTTGAAGCAACTAATTTCACATTTTGACTTGAAAAGTAGTAGAGCACTTAACTTCAAAACGTTTTCTTTATGGCGAAATCCCTATTTAAGATCTAAATAATTGAAGCAATTAATTCCACATTTTGACTTGAAAAGTAGTGGAGCACTTAACTTCAAAACGTTTTCTTTACGGCTAAGTCCCCATTTAAGATCTAAATAATTGAAGCAACTAATGTCACATCTCGGGACCGGCTCCGCCGTAGCACGATATTGTCCGCTTTGGGCCCCCTCTCTGCCCTCACGGTTTTATTTCTAGGAGCTCACAAGCAACTTTCCAATGGGTCACCCATCCTAGGATTGCTCTAGCCCCAACTCGCTTAACTTCGGAGTTCCCATGACTCTGAAACCAATGAGCTCCCAAAAGGCCTCGTGCTAGACGGAGGCGGGCATGTACATATAAGGCACATCAAGCCCTCTCCGTTGGTCGATGTGGGATGTTACAATCCACCCCCCTTAGGGGCCCGACGTCCTTGTCGGCACACTCGCACCACACGGCAGAGTGGCTCTGATACCAAATTGTCACATCCCGGGATCGGCTCCATCGTAGCACGATATTGTCCGCTTTGGGCCCCCCTCTCTGTCCTCATGGTTTTATTTCTGGGAGCTCACGAGTAACTTCCCAGTTGGTCACCCATCCTGGGATTTCTCTAGCCCCAACTCACTTAAATTCGGAGTTCCCATGACTCTTGCTGCCGTTTGGCATATTAAATGTGTTTTATGCATGTTGGAATTTTTGGGGAATGTTCAATTTATAGGGGAGACTCTACCGAAATTTTGGCAAAAAGTCTCGTGCCCTTATTCCTTTTTGGCAAAAGAGGATATAATTTTAGAAGTGGGCCCGACATCGAGGTGATGTCGGGAAATCCACAAGATTCGTCTCGGGTTCCAAGGAATTTGGGGTGAGTCCTGTCAATTAGTATCAGAGCCACTCTACCGTGTGGTGCGAGTGTGCGGACGAGGACGTTGTGCCCCTAAGGGGGGTGCATTGTAACATCCCACATCGACCAACAGAGAGGAGGTGATGTTCCTTATATGTACATGCCCGCCTACATCTAGCATGAGGCCTTTTAGGAGCTCACTAGCTTCGGAGTCATGGGAACTCCGAAGTTAAGCGAGTTGGGGCTAGAGCAATCCCAGGATGGGTGACCCACTGGGAATATATTCGGGAGCTCCTAAAAACAAAATCGTGAGGGCAGATAAGGGGGCCCAAAGTGGACAATATCGTGCTATGGCGGAGCCGATCCCCGGATGTGACAATTATATATATATATTATTTTATGAAAATGTTTTGATGACACTGTAAGTACCACCCTATGATTGTGAGGTCCCACGTGTCGTGTGATTTTCCGGCGTGCAGACAGACCCCATATGTGGCGTTGGTAGTTCCGGCATATAAGGAGATTATGTGATTATCAGAGAGAACTACGTGTGGCTTGATCCCTCGGCGAGGGTACGTAGGCAACCTAGGTGCAGCCACAGGTTAAACTTTACTTTTGTGTGTTTCGAGTGTGGTGCGGACCTTGTCGTTATTCCTGAGATTCAGGTGACAACGAGATGTGTTTATGTTAGGAGGTTAAAACCTCGTATGTTGAAATTGGGATAGTTAGATGATGTAAATTTGCATTTGGCTTTCATAATTATGTTTAAGTTTATTAATTGCCTTAAGTAAAGTACTATTTGGTTCAAGAGCTTGTTGGTAGTTTAGTTTCGGAATATTTGAAGGTCGGAGGCCAATTAGATGAATTGCATGAAATTATATTGTGCATGTTGCCATTTGGGATATTAAATGTGTTTTATGCAGGTTGGAATTTTTTAGGAATGTTCAATTTACAAGGGAGACTCTGCTGAAATTTCGGCAGAAAGTCTCGTGCCCTTATTCCTTTCTGGCAAAAGAGGACATAGTTTTAGAAGTGGGCCCGATGTTGTTAAAATGTTAACTTGCAATTGTGCGGGCCAATAAGTAGTATAGCAAGACAAGTACGAGGTCGTACCCACGAGGACTGAGAAGTTAAAATTAGTTATGTACTTAGATTACCAAATTCAAGAAAGTAGGAGGTTAAGTCTAAAATAGAATTTAAAGCAAGAGTGATTGTGATTGTTGAACAAATGAGGCAAAACGAAATTTCAAACAAAAGCGAAGTGAGCAAATGTAACAAAGAGTATTTTTTGTAGGCTGGAAAACAGATTGAGAGACTAGGGCATTCGATTCACCATAAGAATTCAATTCTGGGTTATAAGGAGTCAAGTGACAAGTCTAATTCGGATTCAAAGATTGATTCTAGCTAAAGTATGATTAGGCCATGGTGTCTGGTCCTGACCTTGTGTTCCTAATTCCCTAACTTGATCATTTGTTGTCTAACCTAAATTAAGCATTAGGAACCCATTAAGCATAGAAGAACAATTTAAACAACCAAGCATGTATCTAATCCCTGTTGTCGAATGTCCATACATACTTTTCTTATTCATAGTTCAATTCGAATCAAAGCATGATGTCTACTCTTATTCAAACCAAGGTAGCTAATATACAAGTTCTAATAGTGATCAATCATCCAAACAAGCATATTAATGATAAGCATAAAGAATAGGAACATGAATCATGAATCAAACTTGAAACTCAAAACTTCAACTTAGAAACCCAGAATATTCATGTTAGGTTACATCGAAGCCCTACTTATGAATTTAGCTACTCATAATGGAAATGAAACTTAAACAGAAATGAGAAAACATAATGAATGCAATAAGAGTAGAGAAAACCCATTTATGAAGTTGCTTGTGGTTTCCAAGGCTTCTCCAGGTGCTTCTCCACGTCTAATACTGCTCCAAGAAACATCCTCACGTCTAGAGTATGGCAACTAAAGAGGTGATTTGAGATGAGTTTGGGTGAGTGGTGATGGCAGAAAAAGGGGAAATTCGTAGGGAAATGGAAGGAAGGCTTGTTGGAGCTGTTTTGGTGATTTGGGGCTGAATGGAGTGTTTGGGGAAGGATGGGAGTGTTAGAGGATTGTTGAAGTGAATTTTAGGCTGAATGGAGTGACTCCCTTTGAATGAGTGTGCCTCACTCTATTTATAGAGTGCAATTCGTACTCCCCTTTGGCTGGAGAAGCACACCCATTCCTAGCTGTTCCCAATTGCCTGAGCTGCCCATTAGGTTCCCATGCTGCTTTGTCTCCCATGTGTGGCTGTTTTGGTGTGTAGGCCATGCCTCTAGGAATGTCAGTTGCCCATCCTTCTGATTTTCCATGCTGTCTTGTCAGCACATGGCTTAACAGCTGGCAGTTGCATTCCTGAGCATGGTGTTCATTTTGATGGGCTCACGGATTGGGGTCGACTTAATCAATTGATACATTTGAGTAGTCCACCTCGAAGTTCAGACTCTCATCTTTCCAACCACATATTATTTGGGCCAATCCAAGTTGGGAGAAAGATGTTAAGGCCGAAATGAGTTGCTAACCCAGTCTGCTCGTTTTTGTACCATTTTGCATCTTTTCTTATCCAAAGGCACCATTGCTACCTAAGGCCCAATGAACTGAATGGAAAACAGAAAAGGGATTAAAAGCCCACGTTTGACTCAATAACATAACCAAATCATAAGCTAGAAGGGTACAAAATGATATGCAATTGTGAACTGATCAAATACCCCCAGACCTAGATTTTGCTAGTCTTCGAGCAAAACAAAAGAAAACAAAGTTCAAAACAAAACAAGAAGTTTAACTAAACCACTTCTGTGGGTAACTCGATTGCATTGAGCATATGCAACAAGCCTTTAAACCTCTAGGCATCCCTAGTAGGAGGAGTTGTGTCTCCTGAGGGTTTAACAGAAACGATACCCACAAACGCTTTACTGACTCTACAAAACAAAAGGTTAGAAAACTAACTTTGAAAACAACTAATGAAAGAAAACTTTAATCATACCTCCAACACCAGAGAGTTGCCAAGATAGATGATCAATAAGTGTGTAAAGTGGAAGCTATAGCTCAAAAGCACACGGCTTCAAAGTAAACATACTCAAATCTTGAAGGAAGAACATGCTTCAACTCTAATTCTCACATATAGCACTCAATCACTCAGAACCTATGGTTTTATTCTCTCAAACAAGCATAAGTGAGTATATGAAATAGAAGCAGAATATTTGGTTAGATCTCATGAAGGGAATCAAATACTAAGAATAGAGATACACACATACATACCAGCACCCATGAATACATCCTCAAAGATCAGCTAGGTCTTTCACAAGGTTGTAATGAATGGCTAAGGTTAGGGGAAATGGAAGAGTTGGAAAGAACACAATTAACTTAAGAACATACCAAGGTTGCATTCTTCATTGATCTGCAAGGTATCATTGATTTAGAATGATATGGCTGCAACTTCATAGCATCATCTGGCATAGACCTTATATTTCACATTTAGATCAAATCGAAACACTTTCTCTTTATCTTTCTTATTTGCTGACTTGATCTACTTCTTCTTTAACTTCATTGCACAGATTCACACCAATTTACATTTAAGCATGTGGCAGCAACTTCCTTGCTTCAAACTTTATCTTGGCACACCTTGGTATATTTTCTAAGCTATAGGGTATGGCTATAATAGGTTAAATATCTCAGATTGAGATACAAGGTTAGGGGAATTATGAGGGTGATAGAAGAAAAAGGCAAGTGTTTTGCTGCAAGAGAGCTGATGGAACACACGAATGGGTGGGGTGAAAAGAAAGCACAGAGAATGGTTATACACACATAGCCTAGCATCACTTCAATGAGTTCATTCATGAGTGAGAGCACGCACCTGATATTTGCAAAGAGAATCATCCTTAGTATTCAATCAAAATGGAACAATGAGATCATTTAGAGTGAATTGAAGAAAATAAGTAGAGATGAGGAATAGAAACACTTTAAACCCTCTCAAGAAACGAAATTAGGCTCAAAATAGCTCACTAGGGTAGTCTCCACTATTCTCCTTCAAGAATCTGAGCATGGTACTTTAGCCACCAGAATTCTAAGAGCAAAAGCTTTGTGAAGTGTAAAATTTCTGATATGAAAATCTCAATGGCAGCTCCATAGCATTGATTGTATGAAATAAAAAAAAAAAAAAAAAAAAAAAAAAAGTGAACGAAAATTGTAAACACAAATGAACAAAATTGAAAACCTTCCCCCCAAGACCTGAATTGAACATTGTCCTCATTGTTAAAGCATAACAAAGATGAGTGAGAACATGTAAATAATAAGGGAAAGTTTAAGACCAAGTATTAGAGAAACTCCCTCTTGATGCGATTAGGTCGACCGCTACCAAGCACCTTATTCTTCAACACATGGGTTGCCTCCCAAGAAGCGCCTTAGTTAATCTCTTGGCAAGACATTATGCGATTAGCTAACTTGATTGTACGAAGGGAAGATGATCCACCACATGACCAGTTTGAATTCCAACTGACACTCCCTCATAGAATGGCTTTAAACGTTGTCCATTTACTTCGAAAGTCGAGCCATCTTTAGGGTTTTGAATCTCCACAGGGAGAAACATTGACCACAATGAATGGGCCAAGCCACCTAGACTTCAATTTTCCTAGAAAGAGACGCAAACGTGAGTTAAACAAAAGAACTGACATACCTTTAGTGAACACTTTCCGTTGAATGTTCCTGTCATGGTAACTCTTGGTTTGTTCTTTGTAAAGCCTTGCATTCTCATAGGACTCATGTCTAATTTCTTCCAATTCATTGAGCTGAAACTTTCTAACATGGCCGGCCTTGTCCAGATCAAAATTCAACTTCTTGATGGCCCAAAAAGCATTGTGTTCAAGCTCCATTGGCAAGTGACAGGCTTTCCCAAACACAAGAAGATAAGGGCTCATTCCGATGGGAGTCTTATATGCAGTCCTATAAGCCCATAATGCATCATTGAGCTTGGCAGCCCAATCTTTCCTTGTACTATTCACCACCTTCTCTAGGATCTGCTTAATTTCTCTGTTGCTTATTTCTACTTGACCAGAAGTTTGAGGATGATATGGTGTAGAGACTCGGTGGGTGATGTTGTACTTCTTCATGAGTGCTTCAAATGGCTTGTTGCAGAAGTGGCTGCCTCCATCACTAATGACAGCCCTTGGAGTACCAAACCTTGTGAAAATATTTCCCTCAGGAACTTTCAGCACCACCTTATGATCATTGGTTTTGGTGGCTATGGTTTCCACCCATTTAGACACATAATCAACAGCAACAAGTATGTAGGTATAACCAAAGGAAGATGGGAATGGTCCCATGAAATCAATACCCCATACATCGAAGAGTTCCACAAAGAGTATGTTCTTCAATGGCATTTCGTTCCTGCGGCTTATGTTTCCCATCCTTTGACACCTATCACACTTAACACAAAAATTAAATGCATCTTTGAATAGAGTAGGCCAAAAGAAACCTGATTGCAAAATTTTAAGTGTTGTTTTCTTAGCTCCAAAGTGGCCTCCACAAGCCAATTTGTGGCTATGCCTAAGGATTCTTTCTTGTTCTTCTTCTGGAACACATCTTTTAATGAGTTGATATGGGCAATGCTTGAATAAGAAAGGTTCATCCCAGACATAATGTTTCACCATGGAAAAGAACTTCTTTTTGTCCTGATAAGTTAGATCATTTCTAAGAACACCACAAGCAAGATAATTAACAAAATCAGCATACCATGGCTCTTTGACTTGGGACAACAATAGTTGTTCATCTGGAAAAGTCTCATTCAAGGGTAATACAGCTTCTCCTTGCTCTTCAACCACAATTCTGCTCAAATGGTCAGCCACCACATTTTCACATCCCTTCTTGTCTCGAATCTCCAAATCGAACTCTTGCAGCAAGAGAATCCATCTGACCAAGGGTGGTTTGGCGTCCTTCTTAGTGAGCAAGTATCTAAGAGCAGCATGGTCAAAATAAACAATTACTTTAGAACCAACAAGGTAAGAACGAAATTTTTCTAAAGCAAAAACCACAGCAAGCAACTCCTTCTCTGTTGTGGAGTAATTGAGTTGGGCATCATTCAAGGTTCGGCTCGCATAATGAATCACATGGGGAAGCTTTTTCTTCTTTTGACCTAGAACTGCACCAATAGCAAAGTCAGAGGCATCACACATTATTTCAAATGGTAAGGACCAATCTGGAGCTATGATAATAGGGGCTGAAGTTAGCTCTTTCTTCAAGGTCGTAAAAGCTTCCATGCAAGTTTCGTCAAACTCAAAAACAGCATCCTTAGCAAGGAGATTACACAATGGTCTTGAAATGCTCAAAAATTTTTTGATGAACCTTCTATAGAATCCGGCATGGCCCAGAAAGCTTCTAACTCCTTTAACAGAGGAAGGGGGTGGTAGATTTGAGATGATATTTATCTTGGCTTTGTCCACTTCAATTCCCTTGCTTGAAACAACATGGCCTAGCACAATTCCTTGTCTTACCATGAAGTGACACTTCTCCCAATTCAAAATCAGATTTGTTTCCTGACATCTTTTAAGCACTAGAGACAAGTGGTGAAGACAATCATCAAAAGATGAACCAAAAACTTAAAAATCATCCATAAATACCTCCATGAATCGTTCCACCATATCAGAAAAGATTGCCATCATGCATCTTTGGAAAGTTGTTGGAGCATTGCACAAACCAAATGGCATCCTTCTATACACAAACGTACCAAATGGGCATGTGAACGTGGTTTTCTCCTGGTCTTCCGGAGCAATGGGAATTTGATTATAACCTAAAAATCCATCAAGAAAATAGTAGTAAGCATGGCCAGATAAACGGTCAAGCATTTGATCAATAAAGGCAAGGGAAAATGATCTTTTCTCATGGATGTGTTCAACTTCCTATAATCAATGCAAACTCTCTAACCGGTGATAGTTCGTGTTGGAACTAGCTCATTCTTCTCATTTTTTACAACGGTGATTCCGGACTTCTTTGGAACAACTTGCACAGGACTTACCCACTTAGAATCTGAAACTAGGTAGATGATTCCCACATCAAGTAGCTTTAAAACTTCAGCCCTAACCACCTCTTTCATATTGGGATTTAGCCTCCTTTGTGCATCACGAGATGGTTTGCTGTCTTCTTCCATTAAAATTCGGTGCATGCACATGCTTGGACTATTTCTTTGATGTCTGCTATGGTCCATCCAAGGGCTGTTTTATGCTCTTTCAGAACTTCAATTAAGCTGTCCTCTTCATGTGAGGTGAGACCTGCAGCAATTATAACAGGGAGAGTTTCATTAGCACCCAAATGAGTATACTTAAGATGATTGGGTAGAGGTTTAAGTTCTAGCTTTGGTGGGGTGATAATGGATGGCTCCAATTTTGTGGAGGATGGTCCAAGAGGCTCGAGTGGTGGCCTAAAGGATGGTGGGTATGGCTAAAACACTTCTAAGGCAGCCATCACTTCTTGGAACTCTGATTCATAGAGATCTTCCTCTTCTTGTGTTAGGACCGCTTCTAGAGCATCATTAGACTTTTTCTGCACAATTTTAGAAGAAACCTCATGATCCACAACATCAATTGGAAAACAAGTATCAAGAGTGATAGAAGGTTGAGAGAGAGCATCAAACACTTTAAATTCAACAGTTTCACCCAAAACAGTCATGGAGAGGGTGCCATCTTTCACTTTGATGATTGTGTCGCAGTGGCCATGAATGGTCGGCCAAGGAGAATGGGATCAACACGGTCTCCATATGGGTTATCCTCCATATCCATCACTACAAAATCAGCCGGAAGAATGAGTGTATTAACTTGAACTAAAATATCTTCTACAATACCTTTTGGATATTTGATAGAATGATCAACTAGTTCAAGACGAATTGAGGTTTTCTTTATCCCTTCTAAGCCAAGCTCCTGATAAACTGAATATTGCATTACATTGATGCTTGCTCCCAAGTCCAACATGGCTCTTCCAACCTTCTTATCTCCGATGTTAATGGGAATGTCAAAGCTGCCAAGATCTTCTAGTTTTGGTGGAAGCTTCCTTTGCAACACAGCACTCACATTCTTGTTGAGCTTTACTTCTTCACTTGGAGCAAAATTGAGCTTGTGAGTCATCAAGTGCTTGATGAACTTTCCATATGCAGGAATCTGTTTAACAACATCAAGCAAGGGCAAATTGATATTAACTTTACTCAAAATATCATAAATCTCTTTAAAAGCCTTATCTTGATTTGCTTTCTTCAAAAAGCCTGGAAATGGAATCGGTGGAATATATGGAGGAGTTGGGATGTATCTATCTTGATGAAGATGTGATGGCACAAATTTGTCATCTCTTTTAAGCAATTGAAATGGATTGGGTTCCTGAGAATCAGATTTGGCCTTAGGAGCATATTGGGATGTTTTGGGTTGTTCTCCTTCCATAGCTGTGGTTTCCTCTTCATCTTCATCCTCTACAACCACAACATCATTTGATAGATCAGAACCAACTTTGTTATCAACAATCTTACCTGATCTGAGCACATGAACGGCCTTGGCTTCTTGGTTTTTCGAATTGATCACGGTTTGGCTTGGCCATTTCCCAGGCTCTCTTTGAGCTATTTCAGCAGCTATCTGGCCTAATTGGACTTCCAACTTGGAGAGGGCAGCTTGTGTAGTTTGCTGGAAATTGGATTGGTTGATTGCCATTTGCTTCACTATATCCTCCAAGATGATGATTGTTGTGGCCTTTGGTGTGAAGGGGGATTCGCTTGATTCTGTGTATTCCTCCATGAAAAGTTTGGATGATTCCTCCACCTGGATTATAACTTTGAGAATATGGACCATTTATTGGACCTCGGTTGTAGGAATTCACCAACTTAGCTTGCTCTTGCACAAATTCTGGATATGCAGCCCCAAGGGGACAAGAAATGGTAGGATGATCATGAGTTTCACATATGCTACACACTTTCTTTGAAGGGTTTCTTGAGTTCAATGCAAGGAGGGCATCTAGCTTTTGTTCCAATTTGGAAATCTGCACACTGGAAGAATCATTAGAACCACCAACAATACGTTTACCTCTTGTATCGGTGTGTTGGGTCTCCATTGCTATCTCCCTAAAGAGTTCATATGTTTCTTCGGGAGTCTTAGTCTTATAAGAACCACCTGCAAAATTAGTGACAATATTATGGCTAGAGGGTGTTAGTCCTTTATAAAACATACGCATCTGAAGCTTCAATGGAATCCCATGATGAGGACATTGATTGAGCAGCCCATTGAATCTCTCCCATGCTTCACAAAACGACTCATCATCTTGTTGTGCAAATAGTAAGATCTTGTCCCTAAGCATGTTGGTTTTTTGCGTGGAGAAGTATTTCTCCAAGAACTTCTTTTGAATGGCTCCCCAAGTTGTGAGTGAACCAAGCTTCAAAGAATTCAACCAATATTTCGCCTTATCTTTCAAAGTGTAAGGAAATACTCTCATTCGAAGTTGATCTTCCGTCACACCTGTCAAGGGAAAAGAGCTCACAACATTAAAAATATCCTTTATATGGGTTAATGGATCTTCATTAGGTAAACCATAAAAGGAAGGCAACATATTAAGATGAGAAGATTTAAGCTCATAGTTTCGAGCTGCGGTGAGCAGCAAGATGCTTGAAGGGGATGCTGGAATTGTTGGGATATCAAGGTCTCCCATGAACTCATTGGCAGCCATCTCTTCTTCTTCTTCTTGGTCTGAACTTGATTTCGAATTTGAAGGTGAAGAACCTAGGAGGTCAGTGTGGATAGCAAGACATTCAAATGTGGTAATGGCTTGCTCTTTTCCAGTTGCCAACTCTCTTTCTAGACGATTCTGAATTTCAGAGATCACCCGGTTTGGTTGCAAAGATGGCCCTGCGTTCAAAGATCTCGAACGTTGGAATGAAGACCTCACTTGTTCAAGGAAGGGATTTGTAGACATAAACTACCTGAAACAGAAAATAATTTGAGTTAATTAGTACTACTAAAAGAATAGGGTAACCTTGGGCACATAACCAGGGAAGAACTTTAGTTCAGTCCTCGGCAACGGCGCCAAAATTTGTTGTTAAAATGTTAACTCGCAACTGTACGGGCGAATTAGTAGTATAGCAAGACAAGTACGAGGTCGTACCCATGAGGACTGAGAAGTTAAAATTAGTTATGTACTTAGATTACCAAATTCAAGAAAGTAGGAGGTTAAGTCTAAAATAGAATTTAAAGCAAGAGTGATTGTGATTGTTGAACAAATGAGGCAAAACGAAATTTCAAACAAAAGCAAAGTGAGCAAAGGTAACAAAGAGTATTTTTTGTAGGCTGGAAAACAAATTGGGAGACTAGGGCATTCGATTCACCATAAGAATTCAATTCTGGGTTATAAGAAGTCAAGTGACAAGTCTAATTCGGATTCAAAGATTGATTCTAGCTAAAGTATGATTAGGCCATGGTGTCTGGTCCTAACCTTGTGTTCCTAATTCCCTAACTTGATCATTTATTGTCTAACCTAACTTAAGCATTAGGAACCCATTAAGCATAGAAGAACAATTTAAACAACCAAGCATGTATCTAATCCCTGTTGTCGAATTTCCATACATACTTTTCTTATTTATAGTTCAATTCGAATCAAAGCATGGTGTCTACTCTTGATTCAAACCAAGGTAGCTAATATACAAGTTCTAATGGTGATCAATCATCTAAACAAGCATATTGACTGATAAGCATAAAGAATAGGAACATGAATCATGAATCAAACTTGAAATTCAAAACTTCAACTTATAAACCCAGAATATTCATGTTAGGTTACATCGAAGCCCTAGTTATGAATTTAGCTGCTCATAATGGAAATGAAACTTAAACAGAAATGAGAAAACATAATGAATGCAATAAGAGTAGAGAAACCCATTTCTGAAGTTGCTTGTGGTTTCCAAGGCTTCTCCAGGTGCTTCTCCACGTCTAATGCTGCTCCAAGAAATTCCTCACGTCTAGAGTATGGCAACTAAAGAGGTGATTTGAGATGAGTTTGGGTGAGTGGTGATGGCAGAGAAAGAGGAAATTCTTAGGGAAATGGAAGGAAGGCTTGTTGGAGTTGTTTTGGTGATTTGGGGATGAATGGAGTGTTTAGGGAAGGATGGGAGTGTTAGAGGATGGCTGAAGTGAAATTTAGGCTGAATGGAGTGACTTCCTTTGAATGAGTGTGCCTCACTCTATTTATAGAGTGCAATTTTGTACTCCCCTTTGGTTGGTGAAGCACACCCATTCCTAGCTGTTCCCAATTGCCTGAGCTGCCCATTAGGTTCCCATGCTGCTTTGTCTCCCATGTGTGGCTGGTTTGGTGTGTAGCCCATGCCTCTAGGAATGTTAGCTACCCATCCTTCTGAGTTTCCATGTTGTCTTGTCAGCACATGGCTCAACATCTGGCAGTTGCATTCCTGAGCATGGTGTGCATTTTGATGGGCTCACGGATTGGGGTCGACTTAATCAATTGATACATTTGAGTAATCCACCTCGAAGTTCAAACTCTCATCTATCCAACCACATATTATTTGGGCCAATCCAAGTTGGGAGAAAGACGTTAAGGCCGAAATGAGTTGCTAACCCAGTCTGCTCGTTTTTGCACCATTTTGCATCTTTTCTTATCCAAAGGCACCATTGCTACCTAAGGCCCAATGAACTGAATGGAAAACAGAAAAGGGATTAAAAGCACACGTTTGACTCAATAACATAACGAAATCATAAGCTAGAAGGGTACAAAATGATATGCAATTGTGAACTGATCACCCGACATCGGGGTGATATCGGGAAATCCACAGGATTTGTCTCGGGTTCCGAGGAATTCGGGGCGGGTCCTGTCAACTAATTCCACATTTGACTTGAAAAGTAGTGGAGCACTTAACTTCAAAAAGTTTTCTTTACGGCGAAGTCCCCATTTAAGATCTAAATAATTGAAGCAACTAATTCCACATTTTGACTTGAAAAGTAGTGGAGCTTTTAACTTCAAAACGTTTTCTTTATAGCGAAATCTCCATTTAAGATCTAAATAATTGAAGCAACTAATTCCACATTTTGAATTGAAAAGTAGTGGAGCACTTAACTTCAAAACGTTTTCTTTACGGCGAAGTCCCCATTTAAGATCTAAATAATTGAAGCAACTAATTCCACATTTTGACTTGAAAAGTAGTGGAGCACTTAACTTCAAAAAGTTTTCTTTACGGCTAAGTCCCCATTTAAGATCTAAATAATTGAAGCAACTAATTCCACATTTTGACTTGAAAAGTAGTGGAGCACTTAACTTCAAAACGTTTTCTTTACGGCGAATTCGCTATTTAAGATCCAAATAATTGAAGCAACTAATTCCACAATTTGACTTGAAAAGTAGTGGAGCACTTAACTTTAAAACGTTTTGGTTACAGCTAAGTCCCCATTTAAGATCCACATAATTGAGTAAAGCTTCAGAGAAAATACCATCTACGTTTAATGACGGTCTTCATAGCTTGCTCTCTCAACGCTGTTTTGATTTGTTCATCCAGATATAAATTAGTTCTAGTTTGAATGGGACCTTAAAACTATTAGACTTGTCAAACAAAAACCTAGCTAGCTAGCTCTAGCTTCTGGGATCTCCATGGAAGGTAGAAGAGCCTTGTGTGGGAGGTTTGCAATTGTAGGCTTTCTTGTTATTGGCTTAATAGTTGGTGAAACTTGTATCGCCAAGGCGTGTTCTCCTTCTTCCTGCGGCAACATCCATAACATAAGCTGCCCTTTTTAGCTGAAAGACGATCTGAAAAATTGCAGCGATTTCGCCGACTATCTGTCTTGTGAAAACAGCGTTACAGTGTTGCAACTTCATTTTGCAAAATTCCACGTAAAGTCAATCAACTACAATAACAACACAATTCGAGTCGTAGATCTTGGCTTTCAGAAGAACAATTGCTCCTCCATTCCTCTATATTATTTGTCATCTGATTCCATACATGCACGATCTCCATATGGTTTTTATGACTATGAATATAGTAGCATGGACAGATGGAAATCAAGAGTTGTAACTTTCATCAAGTGTGCGAATCCAGTGAATTCATCTCTCTATGTGGAAACTGCTCCATGCATGAATAGTACTACTGGGGGAGCTACTTCTTTGTCCCAACCGAGAAGGTATAGCTACGTCATCGTGGGCCCAACAGCTGCATGGGATTTGGAGGAGGGGTGCAGTATAGGGTGGACAGCTATGGCTTCCTTGAATGAAAAAGACCGAAACGCTTCTTATAGTCGCATACACAATGCTCTAGTGTACAGCTTTGAGCTTCAGTACAGCACAGGTATGTGAATATACATACCAATCTTTCTCCAACTCCCTTTTGCATAGAATGAGCTCCACTTGGTTCTATAATCTTGAGGGTATTTGATTATGGATTTTAACACGGTCAACTTAATTACATATTTTTTTATTGTTAGTAAACGTAGTGGAAATCAGTAATTGGAATTATTCTAATACCCATGTACTAGTAATCAGATGGAAAAAAAAAACTAAAATGATTCCAATACCCATTCCTGATAGTAAAGATGATGGTCCATCCCTCTTTAGTGAAGGAGACATGTGGACATGAATGTGGTGGGTGGCCCGAGATGGATTACTAAACGAGTCTCTTCTCACTCATGCCATGTTAACTTATTTGGAATGAGTATTGGAATTATTATAATTCCTTGGGTTAATCGTTTTATTAGTCCCTGAACTTAGACCCGATTTGCATTTGAGTCCCTCAATTTCCAAAATCATTCTCATGGTCCTTTAACTTCACTTTCATTAGAACAAATGGTCCTACCGTCAATTTTGTTAACTTTTTCTGTTAAATACAGGGGCAAAATGGTATTTTTATATTAAAACCAAAAAAATAAAAAAATAAAAATCATATCTTTAAAATATCAATAAAAGAAAATCAAATAAAAAACCAACAAAAAAATAAAATCAAGTTTGGGGATGTAGAAATCGGGATAGGGGGAGGGAGGGAGAGAGAGAGAGTTTAATTTTAATTTTTTATTCATATTTTAATCATTTGATACAAAAATACCATTTTGCCCCTGCATTTAACAAAAAAGTTAGTAAAATTGGCAGCAGGACCATTTGTTCTAACAAAACTGAAGTTGAAGGACCACGAGAATTTAGGGACTTAAATGCAAATTGGGTCTAAGTTCAGCGATTAATACAACGGTTAACCCTAATTCCTTAATTCCTAGTGTTTACAAGCAAATATTAGAATTATTCAAATTCTTGACTTCTTGCATTTACCAGAGGATAAGACATAAATAATTATATGTGGGCTCCATATTAAAATTCATATCGTGCACCTTAAAACTAGAAATTGGATCGTCTAGGAAGAGTAATTGATTCAATTTCAATTTCTGAGGATAAATATTTTGAACAAATAATATATTGACATTATTACTTTAAAAGTATTTAAAAGTTGGTGATATCCAGTTGTGACTGTCAAAAAGTGTTTAAAAGTTGGTGGTATCCAAAAAATTAATGACTTTTAAAAAACTTAGTCAATGAATGACTTTCGTATACTTTTAAGGCTAATTATTAATTTACTAAAGACTTTTATCAACTTTATAAAAGTATTTAAGAATATGTCAACTCTATGAAAGTCACTTAGTTAATTACCCAAAGTCTTTATAAGTATGGATTGAATACATCCTCCTAAATTTAAACACTTAGGATCTATGACTTTAAATGGACAGCAAATAATGTACCAAACTTTGAATAAAAAAACTTATTACTAGAAATTTATACCTACCAAAACCTTATGTTAGAGTTGTAGGGGCTTTTTTGTTCTAGCAGTTACTGATGGGTTTGGGCCGCTGTAAAGAACCAAATGTGTGAAAATTGCCCCTGAATCTGAGTTCAAGAATCAGACCCCAAGAATGCTTCGAAAGGGTAGCTGAGCCTTAGGAAGCACATTGGTTACCTTCACTAGCAAAATTAACAGTCGCTTACAGATAAATACTTAGCTTGGCATGAGAGGCTTGTGGAATGGAAACAAAGCAGTCATGAGTTTAGCATTCAAGAGAGAGAGGGTTGTGAGTTCCTACGAGAAACAGAGGTTCTAAGGAAAGAGGGAAGGGATTCTAAAGGGGTTTGTTGAAGAGAGAAAGAGAGAGATGGGAAGAACAATGGGTTTGTTGAGTAATTTTTCAGCGGCCTGACAAAAGCTATGTCAGAAGAGAAAATGGGGGGAGAAGGATGACCATAGAACGAAATTGCTAGGTTTTGAAGATGAGAGGGGAAGCTTGCTATCTGGATGTGGATGATGGTTGTTGGGCAGGAGGTGCTTCATTTATAGCCGCTGGAAACTCCTCCTTTCCAAGAAACCCTAATGGTTTCTATCCAATTTGGCCAAGTCTTTCCTTTCCTTTCTCTTCTCTTCCTTTGACTCATCCTATTTGGTGAAATTCTTTCTTCCCAATCGCACAAAAACAAGGTTTTGGGAGCTCTAGGCTTTTCTCGCAGCTGTTTCATTGGGGGGACTCCCATTTTCAGCCATCTCCTTCCTTCTTTTCTTCCCTCTTCCATGGCTAGATCTGGTGGGGGGAAGAAATGGGTATGTACGCTGGTTTAAAGGGTGTTTCCCTTCCTAGCGATCTGCGCGCACCAATACTCCCTGGTTCTTTGAATGCTCCTACTTGAAATTTTTTCCCCCCCCCCCCCCCCCCCCCCCCCCCCCCCCCCCCCCCCCCCCTTCGAGCCTCCCAGCAGCCTTGCATACGTGGATATCTTGGCTCCCTTCGTAACCTTTGTTCTCCAGCCAAGTGCTGGGGCTTTTGCAGATTCTCATTTTAGTTGCATGGGCCTTCTAGGACAATAAGTTGGTTTATTAAGTAAATGGGCTAACTTCATCAAGTGTTGGGCTATTTTGGTTGAGGTGATGGGCTAAATTTTCTAGGGTATTGGGTTACTTTCTCTCTTTCTTTTATGTTTATCCACATATTTGGGCTCAAGAAATGGGCTTAAGTCTTGAGGCTCCCAAGCAACCCAAGACTTCCATTTCTCGGCTCATCAATGGGCCTCATGACAACTTGTTACCATCCATACCACAACCCACTCAAGCAAGCCCTGGACATTTGCTTGGCTTGGGCCCACTTAAGCTTGTAGCGTGGTTGGGTGTGAAATAATAATTTCCTACTTTGCATGGCATGTCAATCAGCGTGCTTTAATTTTTACATCCTTGAAAAAGGACATGATGCTTGACGGGGTAATTAGCATGGGCTCGTAGAGTTAGTGTATTTTATAAGCTTATCTCAATTCCTAGCATGATAGATTATTTATTTGGCATGGCACGTGGATTGCGGCTCGTGTATGACAAACTTTCTTGTGCTCCAAATCAGGTCTTTTCTTAATGAGGCATCATATTAGGCCGGGAATCTATTCGGGCCCAATCTTGGATTTTTTGGGCCTCAACAAGAGTTAATTTCAATTTGGTACCCTGCAGTTGTATGTTTAGGACATTTTTGTCTTTACATTTTCAATTTTAACAATAAGATACCTCCACAGTGAAATTAGGTGATGACATTTCATTTGTGGGTCCGCTTTTTTAGCTTGTCTAATGAAATATGAATAAATGTTTTTCAAATTAATTGAAAATTAAGAAATAATATTAAAATATTAAAATAAAAAATACAAATAATATTAAAAGATGAAAAAAAACAATTTATTGATTATTAAATGACACTTGAAACATTCAACCCTCAAATGAGACGCCCCTATCATTCTGGAAACAGTTGTGTCTGCGCATCCAAACAACGCATTGTTTTTCCCCCTCTACATGCTGCTGAAGCATTGAAAGGTGCTCCTCGCTGAATCATGGTTGCCCCTGTGCAAGCGACCTTAGTGGAAGAAAATGTAGTTCCCTTGACGAAGAACGTGGGGGCTCCTAGGTGATGTGCATGCCAAAAAAGCAAGAAAAGGAAGAAGAAGAAAGAAGGAAAGACATGCTCAACCGAATAAGCTCTTTTTGGCACGACCGATTTTATCGCGACCACTTGAAGTCTTTGACCAGTGGGCTTTTGATAATACCAAAGGAGGCCCAAAGAGTTGCGACTTTCCGCACCTAAGGAGGCCCTCAAGATATAAAAGGCCAACTAGGCCTATTTCACTCATGATGTCGGTTCCAAAAGGATGATGCATAGACCTCACCACCCTCAGAGTGCCCAGCGCCTAGGTGCTTCATTAGATATACTAAAAATCTGGACTCGCCTACTCTACCACCATTTTCTGGACCACAATACTTAATTCTCTCACCAACAGACTAGAAACAATAGTGGAATAGTAGTGGAAGACCTAGAAATAACCAAAAACACAAGACACAAGCAATAACACACATGGAAGTCACAGCAAGTAACTCACTTAAAATACTGACGACGGAGAAATGACGCGAACGACAACAAGTAAGAATCGGTAGAGAAATTTAGAAGAGGTTCTCACTTAGAAATTCATAAGGCAAAAATGAAGTTTCTCTGCCTAAGTGTTTCTATTTATACATAAAAACGTGGAACAGTGTGCCCGTTGATGAAAGTCGGACAAGTGGACACAAGGAGACTGAGGTGATTGTTGAATGCTTCAGACATTGAAGCCTCAAATGACCCCATCATGATGAAAGCAGTTGCGCCTGCACAGCCAAACAACATATTCTTTCTCCCCTCTCTATACGTGGAGAAAGTCCTCGACCAACGGGACCACTTAATTATTTGGGGGTCTTCTGTTGATACCAAATACAAAGAAGGCCCACGCAAAAGAGTCGAATAACTAGCCTCCATCATTTACGAAAGTGATAGGGCCTAAAAGGCTAGAACGAGGCCCAAAGAGGCCCTTATCCATGCCTAAGGAGGCGCACGTGGTAAAAAGGTTGACCATGCCCATTTCACTCATGCAGTCGGTCTTGAAGGAATAACTCATGGACCACACCGCCCTTGGCGCTCTGAGCACTTGGGTGCTTCACCCAGAAGTCCACGTGCTGCTTACTTGAAAGGACCAATTATCCCATGAATATTCCATTGAAGATTGATTCCTCCAAAATAGGAGACACATGTCTGCCTACAACTGACCAACCACCGAGAAGGTGCCATGTCACTAACGAACCTTCACTCCAACATCGAAACAACGCAAGAAAAGAAACCATCTTCTCAAGTATAAAATAGGCTTACTTTTCAACCTTAAAGGTAATATAAATTTCCTCCGTTTTGAGTACAGTACTTTTCATAGCTTCTTTTAAGAAAGCACTAAGTTAGGCATTGGAGGGTGGTTAATGGCTCTCTCACCACCATTTTGTAGTGACCATTCTTTGTCTTCTTGCAGTTTTTGGTAGCTAGAATCTCACCCTTACTTTGCCACTCCAAGTAACACCATAAATACATCTTTAAACACCCAAGTCAGCTGAAGAACACTCTCAAGGGAGAATTGACTGGGGGTGACTTCATCCTAATTGCTTGTGCTAAATTCACGCATCAATAATGCACATTCTCATTCCTAAATTGTGAGGATTATATTGTTGATTTGGGAATCAATTTTGTTACATTAAATCAAGTGGCATTCTCAAACAAGTGGGTTCTATCTCGAGCTACAACTCTCAAGCAATCAGATAAATTTTGGTCTCTTTCTTATGCTTGGATTGGCCACTTGGCATGCTCGGAATAGTAAAATAAGTTAGCAAAAGGACGTTACCCATGCTATTGTTTGTCATGGAGTTATTGTGCAGTTAAAAGAATTTATGCGAACGAACTCAATAGATAGAGGTGCTGCTCTCCATCATTTGAAGACATAATTATGGAACAAGACTACATTTGGTAGTCTCAAAATCAATATGGATGGGGTTTGGAAGTCAGGTGGCACAGAAAGGGGAGTGGAGATAGTGGTTCACAATTCAAATGGGCATTTTGTGGCAGGTCGAACAATACACTATGATCATGTTTTTCCGGCCCTTTGGGTGGCGGCAATGGCATCTAGGCTTGATGCGGCTTTGGTGGTGGAAAAAGGCTTAAGTTATGCAGTTTTTAAAGTGATTCTCTTCAAATCGTCTCAACTCTTAAGAGTCCCTTCATTGATATGTCCTTTGTTGGTCTTGCGATGAAGGACCCAAGAGCTTGCTATCACAAATCATTTGAGAAGGTTTTACCCATATCTGCTCAACTGCAAATAGAGTGGGTCATGGTATTGCATGTTTTTCTCTTCTTCAGGTGGTGGCAGTAGGTTCATGTGTTGCTTTAGAGTTTTTGTTATTTTGGGTTTGTGAGCTTTATTTGAGATTATACTCAATTGTAGTGATGCGGCCGGGCTAGTAGTTGTTGTTGTGTTTGCTTTAGTTTGGCTTCTTTAGCATGTTAATTTTGTTGTGTTCTCTCACTTGGTGATTTGCATATATGTCTTGTTGATGCCTTAATTGTATTATTGAAGTTATCTAATGAAGTTCTTATTTTTTGTCAAAAACAAAAATAAAAAGAAATTGAAGTTCTTATTTGATAAAAGTTTTTATAAAAAAAAAGGAAAATGATTTTCCCACTCCCATTTTCTCTACTTAGACTCCCTTTTGCTTTTTAATACTTTTTAATCAATCTTTTTTTGTTTTTTTTTGTTTTTCCTACTCTACCCTCCTATATTAAGATTTTGATAAGTAAAATGAAGAAAAGTTAAATAAAACAAAAAACAAAAAAAACCCAAGCCGACCCATTAATCCCGACACTATTCCCATCCCAAGCAATCACCACCCCCACCCCAAAACCCAACTGCACTGGCCAACCTCCCCCATCCATCTAACCCCTCTCTCTCTCTCTCTCTCTCTCTCTCTCTCTCCTTCCAAAACTTATCAAGACACCCCACCCCCTCCTCCTTCGGCAAACCCAGCAGCAATACCACCGTCACCTTCACATCACCTGATATGACGCCGCAATACCATATCCAACCCAAAACCCAGCATGTCACTCTAAACCCCGACCTCATCAGATCTGGCCTTCAACACCGACAAGCTATATTGGAGACTCTCTCTCTCCGTATATGTCGCTCTCTCACTTTCAGAAGTCATTCAAATATGGATGGGTTGGGTTCGATTTAATTTGTTTCTTGGAATTGATATGAATTTTTCTAGTTGTAGGTTTGATTATTTGTTTTGAGTTTGAGTGATGTGAGCAAGATTGGGGTGTGGGGCTGGGATCGCACTAGTTTGGTTGCAAGATTGGGGGTCTGGGAAGGTGGGTGTGGGTGGGGGTGAATTGATGTCGAGTTTGGGTGGCTTGGTTGATGGTTAGGATGGCTGGGTGGCTGAGTTGGTGGTGCCTTGGAGGAAGCAGTCGGGCTGGAGGACGCTAGGAGGCAAGAGAGGGAGAGATTTTTTTTTCTTTTCATTTTTGATTTTTTTATTTATTATTTAACTTTCCTAATGTATGGTAAGGGTAGAGTAGGAAGGAGAAGAATAAAAACAAAACAAAATTGATTAAAAAGTATTAAAAAGCAAAATGGAGTGTAAGTGGAAAAAATGGGAATGGGGAAATCAGTTCCTCAAAAAAATGAAAATTTTGAATTTTAGTGACCAAGTGTGCTAATTTTATTTTATTTTATCCTTTATCATTGTAGGTATCAATGTGTATCTGTATGCAAGGTTTTCACGTAAGTGATCTCTCCTCTAAAGTTTCTTCTTTCTATAATGTTTTAATGAATTACTAGTGTCATGGCTCATGGTACATGCTCACGCGCGCCAACCGGCTTTTTTTATTTTTTATTTTTATACATAATTAACATATTTCTTTTAATCTTTAAGTGTTTTATATTTTTAGTTTTAATTATTAAAAACAAATGAAAAAACAACAGAGGTTAAGAGATGGAGGTAAATGGCACATCCTGAGTGGGTTTTGTGTTTTATATTTTTAATTTTACTTAAATGATAAGCATTTTACCATTTTACCCTTATAATATTAAATTATGAACTTTTAGCACTTAATATTTACTTATATGGAATGTGTTTTATATGTTTGTCATGGAGTTAGGCTACTCCCTTCATTGCCAATTAGTTTTGGGGTTGAACCTCAACTTCATTCAGAATGGATTTGATGCAAGGAATTTGAAACATCAGAGGGTGCCAATGTAATTTCCCAAACCTTAAGGAGTTTTTTGAAAACAACAAAACAGCTCACGAGTGTCAGTGTCATAACTCAATGCAAAATGTAACTGACCTATTATCATGAGTTGATATATAATTGACACATCGCTCACCACAAAAGATGGTTCGCCAGGTAGTTCCTATGAACTTCGATTGTTGATCTCATAAAAGAAGTAGGAAACTGAGAAAGAATGAGGAAAGTAAAATTGCAGATTAAATTTCTAATTTCGGACTTGAGTTCGTTCAGTGTAGCAGCCAAGTAATTAGTACTGCAAGTATGATTTTGCTATTCTGATATAAACCACCTCAAATGGTCAAGCATTGTTCATTTCAGAGCATGCTCACACTGTGTAAAGTTGATCATCTTACTATATTTGGGCTTTGCACTTCTCAAATGTCCTCAGGTCTCTTGATACTGTTCACTTTTATTGTATTTTTTGCAGGAAATAAATTGATAGTACAGTTCACTTTTATCTTTTATTTACTCATGAGTAATGTTACTGCGCAGGACTTGTTAATGTGAAATTTATGTTTGGGGTTCCATTTTTTATTTGGCTCTTGATCTATAAATGGCGGAGAAGGAAATTGTCAATGTATAGCACCATAGAAGATTTTCTGCAGGCTGATAACAACTTCATCCCAATAAGGTACTCTTACTCGGACATTAAGAAGATGACTGGAAGATTCAAGGACAAACTGGGTGAAGGTGGCTTTGGCACTGTATTTAAAGGAAAATTGCGCAGTGGTCGTTTTGGAGCAATTAAGATTTTGGGCAAGTCTAAAGCTAATGGGCAAGATTTCATGAGCGAGGTAGCTACAATTGGGAGGATTCACCATGTTAATGTGGTGCAACTTGTTGGTTATTGTGTGGAGGGATCAAAGCGCTCTCTAGTCTACGATTTCATGCCCAATGGGTCGCTTGATAAATATATTTATTCAAAAGAAGGAAATATGCCTTTAAGTTGCGATAAAATGTATGTGATTTCTCTTGGAGTGGCTCGAGGGATTGAATATCTGCATGAAGGTTGTGACATGCAAATTCTGCGTTTCAATATCAAGCCTCACAACATTCTTCTTGATGAGAATTTCAACCCAAAGATTTCTGACTTTGGGCTAGCAAAACTATATCCTACAGATAACAGTGTTGTCTCTATGACGGAAGCTAGGGGAACATTGGGATATATGGCTCCTGAGTTGTTCTACAAAGCTGATGTCTACAGTTTTGGAATGTTGCTGATGGAGATGGCAAGCAGAAGGAAGAATTTGAATGCCTTGGCAGAGCATTCAAACCAAATTTACTTCCCTTCTTGGGTGTTCGATCAATATATCGAGGGAAAGGACTTGGAGATGGGTGATGTCAATGAAGATGAAATGAAAATAATAAGAAAGATGGTCATAACAGCCTTATGGTGTACGCAATTGAAACCAAGTGATCGTCCATCAATGAAAAAAGTCATAGAGATGCTTGAAGGGCATGTTGAATATCTACAGATGCCTCCCAAGCCTTTTATGTGTCCACACAGATGCCGATAAGCAATCATCAAAATATTCCAAATCCGGCATGTTCTAACTTGGAGCTAACATGGACCTTTTCAGCTAGGTCATGATCAAATAAGCATGGACTCTCTTTGTTTGTTTTTTTTGTTTTTTTTGTTTTTCTCTTTTTGAAACCCTAGACTCTGTTAACTAGCTTGGTGATGATCAACTAGTATGGAATCTGCCGTTTTGAACAAAAAAGAAACAGAGCATATCACATTTGTAGACCACGTTTATAATAGACTCATTTCGTACAAAGCTGAAAATGGTGTTGAGAGTGTCAGAGTAATGAGGTAGAACGTTTTGTTTCCCAAGTTTTAAGAGACATGAATCAGTGTGTGCATGCCCAAACCACAATGATGTGAGCTTAAATTGACCACATGAATCAGTGTGTTTTCCAAGTTGCTTCTGTTTTTCATCAAAGACTCCGACGGTCAACTCAATTGAAATTGTGTCTATTAATTGACCTTCGTGATGAAATATTTCTAATGGAAGAGGCCATGGAAGCTAGAGAACTGCAAAACGAGGAATCAAAAAACAAAGTTAAATCTTCCCCCTATTTCATTAAAAAAAAAGGTTCAGTGGTTGCCTTTCTAGGCATTTTAGAAAGTGGTCGCTGATGATGATTCAACATCCCAACCCCACCAACCTCTCAAAATTAATCTCTCAATCAACTGGGGTTCTGCGGGGAGGGCTGAGATTTTTTGAACTCTTGTATGTTAGGCTTCCATCTCCAACGCAAGATACTCTCTAAAATACTAGAAGAACAATATTTCTGCAAGACACATTATTGGGGGACTTTGAAACTTCAAGGATCACATGATGAAGCAAGCAGGACAACGACAATTTTATGAAAGCTGGTGAAGGACTGTCATGTTAAAACTTGAAGCAAGATTGTGTTACAGAATAGTTTATGCGCACAAGTGATGCATAATATTGGATTTAGCAGCCAGTGATTGTGTGGTAGCAATAGGTCCAATGTTAGGGTCATTGAAACGCCCCCATTTCTAAATTCTATGTAGTTTTGGACCATGAGGCACGTGCTGGTCAAGTACAAACATCAAGAACTATATGATCATTCTTGATTGCATATACAAGTGTGTTTACATGTAATGATGTAATGTATAAGTACACATGTTACTCCAACTCAGGAATTGCTTCTAACTGAATGTTTAGATTTCTTGCAGCCGTACTTGCATTGGTTCCTGCAGCACCTGTAGAGGCAAAGGGATTGGGAGGCATGGTTAAGCTTTCTCCTCCTTCCAACATCTGAACCACGTCTTTCATTGAAGGGCGATCCACTGGATGCCATTGGATGCACCAGAGCCCTACAATTGCAAGTTTCTTCGGAATTTTACCTTCTCCTTCTTCACCGATATGGATGCGTAGGTCATCTCCTTCTTCTAGAAGATTATAAATCCATTCGGGATAGTAGATTTCATTTGTGTTCTCTGTGGCTGAACCGACATTCTTCCTTCCTCCTACCATCTCAAGCAGTAACATTCCAAAACTATACACATCTGACTTATAGGACACATTTCCAAAGTTCCTGGAGAAAACTTCAGGTGCAATGTAGCCCATGGTGCCCCTAGCTGTAGTCATTGACACTATGCTTTGATCCTTGGAACATAACTTGGCTAAACCAAAATCAGAAATCTTTGGAGTGAAGTTGTGGTCTAGCAAAACGTTATGAGGTTTGATGTCGAAATGGAGGATTCGCTGATCGCATCCTTGGTGAAGATATTCAATTCCTTTGGCTATGGCTAGAGCAATATCTTGCATCTTATCCCAACCAAGGAAACTGTTCTTATTGTCTGGTGATGAAATGAAATCCTGCAGTGAACCATTTGGTAAGAACTCATAAACAAAAGCTCGTCTAAATCCATCAGCGCAAAAGCCAACCAAGCGAATGACATTGACATGGTGGATATGACCCATCGTTCCCACTTCATTGATGAACTCTTCTCCATCTCCCTTAGAACTATTGAGGACTTTCACAGCAACAAAGAGTTCAGAAGAAACCGTTCCTTTATAAACAGTTCCGTAGGCTCCTTCCCCTAACTTGTCCTTGAAGTCATTTGTAATCCTCTTAATATCTGCATATGAATATCTGCCAGGTTTGAGAGCTCTGTAATCGTCTAAAAATCTTTCAATCTTTAATTGATTCTCCTTTTCTTTTCTATCAGAACTATGGACACGATAGGCTGCAACGACAACGACTAGGAGTAACAAAACAAATGAACCCAGAGGTGCACCTGCAAGTTAACCTTTGTAAATATCACCACAATCTCATATATACAGATGAAACAAACTGCAACTCCAATTAAACAACTCACCTGTAGCCACCCATTTCCTTTTCGTACCTGAAATAAAAAATACACTGTCAAATAAGTAATTAGAATGAGCTATTGCTTGGAAAATATCCTTTAAATAAACAGTGCTGCTACTTTGCTCTAAACTTCCAAATAAGTAAGCAAAACGTGGATTGCAGATGATAATATCTCATTACATGAATGCATTGTATTATTTGCATCTGCAGATAAGTGACCAGTATAGCAGAATATTAAGAATCTGAAACAATTCAAATATATGTGACCCAATTAAATATATGTTAGCCAAGTTAACCTCGAGGACCACGAACAGAAAAAAAAACACAAGGATACAACTTGATAGATTCATCAACCTCAGGGACGTTTTGTGATAAAAAGCCAATAAATAATGCTCCTACTCTGCTCTCAACTTCCAAATAAGTAAGTAAGCAAAAAGTGACTAGTATAGCAGAATATTAAGAATCTGTAATAAGATAAATATATGTGAATCCCAAACTAAAATTTATGTTAGCCATACCTGCTTGACTGAAGTCCACACATTCAATTTCACTTTTGGTGCCATTGTTCTTCAATCTACACATATTGCCCTTTGCCTCACACTGTCCACAATTTGGTTCAGACCACTTCAAATGAAGATTGTGAGGCTCGTTTGAAAAATATGGAACTGATGACAGATTATACATCTTTGTACAAGACAGTAGGGGCAAGACCTCAATGCTGTACGAAGAGAGAACAGAATAAACTTGGTAGCCAGGGCCACGGAAGCAGGGGACTGGTTCATCTAATTGCCTTGTTGAAGACTAAGGAACAATTATTTAATTATAATTGTTCAGCTAAGGAACAATTGAATAAGGTAAGATCAGTCATGTAATCTTTTGAGAAGTGGAAGGGAGAGATTGACTTGTTGAAGACTTCCAAAAGCTTCATCAGAAGACAGCCTTCTGGATCATATAATTGGACTGCCTGAGCCTTATAATCTATGCTTTTGACTGCGAATTTGAATGGAATTGGAAGCTCAAGAATTGTTTCATGCTTCTCATTGCATGACAGAACAATCCCAGGAAAGACACAACACAGTGATCTGGGTGCTTGCCTTTGAGGCTGAAAGGGAAATGGACAGCTGGGCCTTTATCGCCACACTTCAATTTTTTGCAGGTATCTTGGGGTTCTCCAAGCACTGTGGAGAAAGCCAGAAAGATTAAGCACAAGGAAGAGGTGATAATTTTCACCATATCTAAGGCTGATGGGTTTCTTTTCTGTGCTGCAGAAAAAGAAAATGGTATTTAAATCTTTCTGACTCATATTCAATTAACCCAATCGTGTTTGGGATCTTACTAGGAAAAAAAAAGAAAAGAAAAAAGAAAAGAAAAAAGAAATGTTTGGGATGAAAAGACTATAAAAGTCAACAGTTGACTTGGAGGTCCCACGACATATGACATTCTTGACTTGCATTTCTTTAATTATTTTACTTGTCTACATTTACCATAATTACAATTATTATAATTATTTTATCTGTTACTGTTGGATGAAAGAAGAATGCAGAGAAACTTCCAAGGCTGCTGTTTGTCCGTTTGAAAAGAATCAGCAAGCACAAAACTAAAGATAAGGGATAATCATAGTCGCAAGATAATCTTTCTTCACCCTTTGTTCCCACAAGACACCAACCTTACAAGGGGATGACCTGCATTATTCTATTGCGGTTGGCTGGTACTAAATACCAATTTGCATTACATGGTGATATATTGTTAACAATCCCGTTCTCTTGAACCCTTGGGGTCCAAGAGACTTGTAGTCACCCACCCTTAGATTTAATCCAAGGGTTAAGAAAAATGTACTTTAAAATATCTTTTTTCTTTTATGACGCAGCACAAGCAACAAAGGTTTCAAACGAAAACCTTGAGTAATAAGAAATCTGGATTCCACCAGAAATTAAGAGGAATTCTTTTGGGGGTAATTTTATTAAAATCTGAGATGATCAAAACGTTCACCAAATCTGTCTAAATACATATCTCTTAACCCTTGAGCTGCTAGGGGAGTTATTACATTAAAACTGAAAAACAAAATGTATTCCGAAAATTAACTACGAAACTTTGAATGCAGTTTTAGAAGGCCAAACGACCTCAAGATGCCAAAATCCATCATACATCACAACAAAGTAGTGAGTTTGACTCGTGACGTCGTTCCCTTTCCGAAATGGTATTTTGCGTCCTAATCGAAGCTCGGACGACAAATCTGCAAATTCCCGTTACGTCCTTTTTCTAGCTCAACCGCGATAAAATCTGCCATTTGTTCTACATCAGTCCCCTCCACCTCCGAAGAACTCCACCCCGAGTTATGATCTGGATAAAGGACCTCATCTTCATGGAACTCATATAAATCTGCAACATTAAAAGTATTGGAAATTCCCATGGAATCCGGTAACTCAATAACATAGGCATTATCATTGATCCGTTTGAGCACTTTGTAAGGACCATATTTTTTTGGTTTAAGCTTGCTATATGTGCCAACTCGAAACCTCTCCTTCCTCAGAAATATCATCACAGAATCGCCTTCTTGAAACACTTTAACACGCTTATGCCGATCTGCAGCAGCTTTGTACTTAGCATTAGTTTGCTCAAGTTTCTGCTTGACTTCATCTCGAAGGGCTACTACTTCCTCAGCCAAATTTTTCACTGCCACACTAGTTTGCTGGCCTCTAGGCAGTTTCACCAAATCTACAACATGGTTAGGTATAGCAGTATAAACAATGGAAAATGGAGACTTCCCAGTTGCACTATGGACTGCACTGTTATATGCAAACTCCACCTGCGGTAGTGCATAATCCCATTGTTTTGGCTTCTCTCCACAGACGCTTCGTACCATATTGCCCAATGTCCGGTTTGTAACCTCAGTCTGGCCATCAGTCTGGGGATGGGCAGTGCTGCTACGATTCAAAGTAGTCCCAAACAGTCTCTACAAAGTGATCCAAAAATGGCTCAAGAACTTGGTGTCACGATCAGATGTAATGGATGTAGGAACCCCATGCAAGCGAACAACCTCCCTGAAAAACAGTTTGGCTATATTTGATGCATCAGCAGTCTTTTTGCAGGCTATGAAATGCGCCATTTTTGAGAACCGATCTACCACCACAAATACAGAGTCCACTCCCCTTTGTGTTCGGGGCAAACCGAGGACAAAATCCATAGCAAGATCCTGCCAAATATCGTTAGGAACTGATAATGGCATATATAATCCAGTGTTTTGTACCTGCCCCTTCGAAGTTTGAAAAATGTAGCACTTGCGCACAATAGTTCCAACATCTCGTTTGAGCTATGGCCAGTAAAATCTCTCCTCCATTCCTGCAATTGTTTTATCACGGCCTAGGTGGCCACTCAATCCTCCACCATGCAAGTCCCGAATAAGCTTCTCCCTTAAAGAGGAAACTGGAATACACAACTGGTTTCCTTTGAACAAATAACCTTCATTAAGAAAGTATTCTGTCATTGGCTCATGATTGGTGCACTTAGTCCAAATTTCCTGGAAATCATCGTCACCCTCATATAAGTCATTCAGACATTCAAACCCCACAACTTCTTGAGTCAGCGTGACTAACAATGAAGCTCTTCTACTCAGCGCATCCGCCACACGATTTGTCTTGCCGGAAGTATGCTTGATAACGAATGAGAATTTCTGCAAAAAAGTCACCCATCTAGCATGCATTTTATCAATATTTTTCTGGCTGTTAATATACTTCAACACTTGATGATCTGTAAACAAAACAAATTCCTTCTGGATAAGATAGTACTCCCATTGCTTCAAAGCTCGAACAACCGCATAGAACTCTTGGTCATAAGTACTCCACTTTTGACGTGCATCGCTCAGCTTTTCAGAAAAGAACGCAACTGGCCGCTTGTCTTGTGAAAGCACAGCTCCGACTCCCACGCCACTGGCATCACATTCAACTTCGAATACTTTCTCAAAGTTTGGAAGAGCTAGAACCGGCGCGGTGCAAAGCTTTTCTTTTATATCTGCAAAGCTTCTCTCTTGCTCCTCTCCCCAGCTGAACCGGCCCTTCTTCAAACACTCTATGATAGGTGCAGCAATGGAGCTAAAATGCTTCACAAATCTTCTGTAAAAGGTGGCCAAACCATGGAAGCTTCGAACTTCAGAGACTGTCTTTGGAGCTGGCCAGTCAAGGATTGCCTTGATCTTCTCGTCATCTACCTGGATACCATTCTCACCAACAACAAAACCCAAGAACAGTAGCTTATTTGTGCAGAAAGTACATTTTTTTAGGTTCACATACAACTTGTTTTCTCTCAAAACATCTAAAACTTGTCTCAAATGCACAAGATGTTCTTCTTTTGTGGTATTGTAAATTAAAATGTCATCAAAATAAACTACGACAAAAGAGCCAATAAATGGTCAAAGAACCTGATTCATGAGTCTCATGAAAGTGCTAGGCGCATTTGACAATCCGAATGGCATCACCAACCATTCAAATAATCCGTCCTTGCTCTTGAACGCTGTTTTCCATTCGTCGCCAGGTCTGATGCGAATCTGGTGGTAACCGCTTCGCAAATCTATCTTGGAAAACACCCTTGAGCCGCCAAGAACATCCAGCATATCCTCCAACCGTGGAATGGGAAACCTGTACTTGACTGTTATCTTGTTGATTGCTCGGCTATCAACACACATTCGCCAAGTTTTGTCTTTCTTTGGAACCAACAAAACTGGAACTGCGCAAGGACTCAAGCTCTCCCTGATAAATCCCTTCTGCAGTAATTCTTCAATCTGCTCTCTTAGGATATCATTCTCCTTGGGGCTCATCCGATAATGAGGCAGATTCGGAAGGCTAGCTCCAAGCACCAAGTCAATTCGGTGTTGTATGTCCCGCATAGGTGGTAGCTCGTTTGGCAGCTTCTCATAAAGTAGTTCCTGAAATTGTGACAAAATCTGCTGCACGTCTTGTGGAATGTCACTTTCTCCTCTGCCAAGCTGCAACAACCCCTTCAACACTAAGGGACAAAAATACTCCGCTTCTTTGACAGCCTCGTTCAACTCCTGCTCGCTGCTAATTAGGGTTAGGAAACTAGAACTCCTTGTCTTGGGCTCAACAGATTGTTTTGAGGGCTTTGTAGTTGCCATTGCAATTTTGCGGTTGTTCCAAGAAAACAGAATTACATTATCTCGTCCCTTGAAAGTCGCATCCACATCAAATTGCCAAGGTCGCCCTAATAAAATATGGCATGCATCCATGTCAATAACATCACATAATACATCATCTCTGTAATGCTTACCAATGGACAGTGGCACATGGCAAGTCACAACAACACGAACCGAAGGGCCTTTTGTAACCCAACCTAGTGAGTAAGGGCTGACATGTGGCTCCGTTGATAACTGCAAATACTCCACCAATTTCTTTGACACGAAATTCTCGCAACTTCCATTGTCGACAATTACATCACATACCTTGTTTTTGATTGAGCAGAGGGAACGAAAAATACTATGACGCTGCCCTTCCTCCTTTGGTGCCAAAAGAACTCTCTGCAAAACCAAGGTAATCCTCTCCATTCCTTCCTCAATTGCAAATTCAGCCCCTGCATAATCATCTTCCCCGACTTCATCTCTTTCCTCATCATCATCGACTTCTTCGATAAAGTTAGCCTGCCTTCGCTCTGGACAAACATTAGAACGATGCCCTGGTTTTTGGCAACGGTAACATATGTCCGTCATGGGCTTAGCATACGGATTCTGGGACTGGTGTAGGGACTGCCCTCTGTTGAAAGTCCGGTTGCTGCCTTCGTTGAAGTTTTTGTTTTGGACAACTGTTGTTGGTTTTGGCGATCCTCTAGGATTCTGCTGCTGCACTTTCCCCTTATCTCCTGAGCCACTAGAAGCACTAGTAGCATATTCAGAGGCTTCCGTCGTGTTCCTGCGGAAGTTGGTTTGGCGCTTCTCCTTCTCCAACAGTTCAGCTTTCAACGCCATGTTAATTGCCTCCTGCAAAGTCCAAATATTCTGCATACCAATTTTTTCTTGTATGGAAATCTTCAGCCCATTGTTATACCTCGCAACCTTTTGATTGTCAGTCTCGGTCAAATGGTTTCGCTCTGCCAAACGCATGAATTCTTCGGTATATTCAGAAATAGAATGATTGCCTTGCGCACAACCTAGATACATACGGTATAGAATCTGCTCATAATCTGTGGGCAAGAATCGTTCCATCATAAGCGGCTTCATCTTCTGCCATGTACGAACCCGCTGCTTTCCTTGCCTCTGCTGAGAATTTTGCAATTGATCCCACCATACAGCTGCTGTAGCTTTTAGACGGAAAGCTACCATCTTCACCATTTTATGCTCAGGAACCTCCATAATATCGAAAAACCTCTCTACTTCTACAAGCCAATCCAAGGAGTCTTCAATCTTCAGATTTCCCCAAAAGTTAGGGATTTCGGCTTTAATTCGATAATCGCCAAAATTTTCGTAATTACGATTACGATTACGAGGATTATTAGCCGGTGGTGGTGGTTCCTAGGGGAGTTATTACATTAAAACTGAAAAACAGAATGTATTCCGAAAATTAACTACGAAACTTTAAATGCAGTTTTAGAAGGCCAAACGACCTCAGGATGCCAAAATCCATCATACATCACAACAAAGTAGTGAGTTTGACTCGTGGCATCGTTCCCTTTCCAAAATGGTATTTTACGTCCTAATTGAAGCTCGGACGACAAATCTGCAAATTCCCGCTACGTCCTTTTTCTAGCTCAACCGCGATAAAATCTGCCATTTGTTCTACATCATTTTACCTTTTAAATTTCACTTAACAAAAAAAAACTAAAAACTAAAAACCCAAAATCTGTTCTTCTTCCTCCCGCTGCCCCCACGTTCTGCTTCCTCCCATTGTTGCAGCAATAATAACTCTGACTCCGGCATAGCCAGCGAAAATCCAGAGCGACTTATTCCCTCGCACTTCAACAAGGTTAGTTTCTTGTTCTTATTCAGTTTTTCACTCAATTTTCGGATTTGAAATCATGAACCCATATATGGGAATTTCAATTGAGTTTGTGTTATTTATTATTTTGGAACTATATAACTTTTCCTTGTACTCTGAACAAATATCAGTCTCTAGTTGGGAAAAGAATAAACCCTTTGATTTCTAGAAATTGCGAATGAATTGAGTAACAAGCTAAGACTTGTATATTCTTTGTGAAGGTCATTTACAATTGAAATCATAAACCCATATTTGGGAATTTCAATTGGGTTTGTGTTATTTTTTATTTCAGAATTACTAGAACAAATATGAATCTCAATCTGGGGTTCTTGAAATTGGGGTTCTTCTATTCGAGTTTTTCCTTTGTCAAACATGAATCTTAATATAGGGTTCTTGCAACTATGCTGTTTGTTACTGATTAACATGTGAAAATCTGTTTTCTTTTTTCTTTTTCCTGACCTTCATTTATTTATTTCTTCCATTCAAGTTTTTTCTTTGTTTATTACATATGTTTGTACTATTTTTCTTATGATACATTTAAGTGCAGGAGTGATGGCAAATGCATTAGATGAATGGATGTCTTCTAAAGATGAATTTTATATCCCTCAAGTTAGAGATGATAAAAAACCGAAAGCAGGGCTAGCATTTAAGTCATTGGATGAAACATACGAGTTCTACAATGATTATGCAAAGAATGCTGGATTTACTATCAGGATTAGTAAGGAGAAGAAAAAGAAAGAAACAGGTGAGGTTGTTTGGAAACGATACTTTTGTTTCAAGGTGTTTGGGTCAAAATCTGGCGCACCCAGCCCAACACTAAAAAGGGCATAGAATAAACAAAAGGGCACAAGGCCCACAGCCAGACTTTGCAAAACAATAATTGAAGGCCCAAACCAGAATTGATCAAAACTGGGCTTGGCATAATTAAAAGAGAAAAGCTGGAGGCAAACCCACGTGAGCTCCTGACTTGGAAAAGTCAACAATTTTAACTGGGTTGATAGGGAGTTGAGAATGCAGGCAACTAGGAATGGACTTCTCTGAAACTCTGCCACCAAAAGATCAAATCCTTTTTATATATATTCAGATATATTTTTTGCTCCAAAGAAAGGCACTATTTTCAAGAGATAAGCAGACTGCATTTGAAAGATAAGCAAGAAAACAGGGAGTTGTTCAAATAGAAAATCAAAGTAAACATCACAGTTTGAGCTCTTACAAAAGCAGTTGGGATTAAAAGAAGGGATTAGGTTTTCTTTCAAAACAGGGAAGTGATCTGAAGAAATGACTATTGAGAGCTTATCTGCCAAAAGTGATAAAATCCATTTTTTCCTTGTATATAAAAATAAGGAGATCTTTTGAGAAACCTTTGCCGCCCATTATTAAAAGAATTACCCTACTCCAGAAAACACTTCTTATAAATATAAGAGAGGGTGAACATATTCAAAGACACACTCAACTCATCAATAAAAAACAACTAAAAATCAGCCAAAGGCAAAAAACTAAAAATGATCACTTGATCACTGAGAACCTTCAAACAAATTGGAGCAATCAAAAGCTCTCTCTCTCTCTCTCTCTCTTAGGATTTCCAAGCTCAGACTTAAAGAAAAAGTTATTCAAAACGAGACTTGTCTCGTTACAAATTTGGTTAAGCAAAAGCCAAAACAAGCAGAGTTTGAGTTTTCACAAATATGAAAACCTCAACAAATTTGTGGAGAGCCCTGATCAAGCAGAACAGGTACCACAGTGCAGTTACAGCTCAGCAAGTCCTCGAGTCTAACCACTTCTGCCCCGTTCAGACCAGAGAAGTTGTAGTTCTGCCCATTCAAAAAGCCTTCCAGGTCTTGAAATAGATTAAAGCTCTGCCAAACTCGAACTTTGGTATCAATTTGCAGCTGAAGCTCAGCAGTTGAATTTGTTGACAGTTCAGTCTAGCCCAGACATACCCAGTCTAGCCCAGATCAGAAACTTCCCTCCGGGCAAAAATGGAGTTCCAGCTCTCTTTTTATCTTTCTAGAGTTGATTTTGTCCTTTGTAAATTTGTAAAAGGCAGTTCTGCCTAAGAAAATCCACTTTATTATCCATTATTATGGCCAAAACCACCAATTTTGTACTGAGATAAATTGTGAAAGTCCTCACCAGTCTGAGACAAGAAAAGAACTTACTTGGGAGATATTCCTCACCCAAATTCACAATCGCTTGTTTAGAAATCAGTAACTTGGGGTGCAAGTTATCTGTTTTAAAGAAGTCTACTAGAATTCTTATTACTAGCAGTGGCACGCTTGTTTAGAAATCAGTAACTTGGGGAACTTTGCCCTTCCTTCACAGGAGTAAAAACTAAACGGGTGAACAATTTGACATGCCCGATGGGACTTCTCAGTATACATACTCCGACAGAATTTTCTAAAGTACATGAATATTGGAAGCTCTCAGAGAAGGTCTAGAGTCAGAAGAAAGTGACGCCAGGCAATCAGCCCATGGCAGTACTGAAAGCAGACGTTCCAGGACTGGCTCCAGGAGGATGAATCAAATATAGGAATCTGTATTCCGACAAGAGGCTACAACACAAAGGAGCCAGGATACTCTCAATAACATGACAACAATGATGCAATGGCAGGTTAACAGGCAGTTCAGGAAGGACCGTGAGGCTGCCATGACCATAATTCCAAATCCAGATGTTGTAGTCCAGCAGCTAGACCTCCCTTATGGCCCTTCACCAAGATTAGCATGGCCATACCAGGAGAACCCTATCATAGCAAAAATAGCTGGAATACCAAGGCACGGAGAGATCCAAGCTGGACAGAGGAGAGAAGCCCTTCCAGTCCAAGAACATGAGGCCCCAGTCTGGCCAGAAGGCCCTGCACCAGTTCAGGTCCAGCAGAACTAGCCAGAACCTCAGCCTATTCCATAACCTGTGGCCCCACATGATCAACCTTTGGCACTTCTGCCTGAGGCACCAACAGTGTTGCCCTACAGACCCAGAAGGATGGATCCCAATCCATTCCCTCCACCAGCAAGAGGCAGAAGAGGCAAAGGGGGGAACAACCCTTTTGCCAACAATGACAGGAACAGGCCGGGGGCAAACTAGAGGAAGAACACAGGGAGGAAGCTTTGCCCATGCCATGCAGATTGGAGCCCAGGATTGATCACATCTAGCCAGGATAGGGACAAAATCTGCACCCTGTCAATGCTTTAAATGACATGGGGGCATTATAAAGAATGATTAGAGAGTTGATGGAGCCTAAAGCCAGAAGAGGAGCGAGACCCACTTACAGAAAGCCATGTCTGGCTTATATTGATCAAATACCTTTATCCCCAGGTTTCAAGGTGCCAAACTTCACTTTGTTCAACGGAGAAGATCCCCATGCTTCATCAGTTGAGCATATAGGCAGGTTCTCTGTCCAGTGCATAGCCATAGAAAACAACCCTCTGTTAAAGCTAAGGCTTTTTGGGAATTCTCTCTCTGGACAAGCTTTCACCTGGTACACCAGTCTGCCAGCTAATTTTGTTCAAACTTGGAAGCAAATGAAAAATGTTTTCCATGACTATTATTATAGGATTCAGCCAGAAGTCACCATCAGTGATCTTGCTGCCCTCAAGCAGAGTGAAGATGAACCTGCTCAAGACTTCATAACCAAGTTCAGAAAACTCAAAATGAAGTGTCGGATCCCTATGGCAGAAAGGCACTTCGTCCAGATGGCTCAAGCTGCTCTCAAAATCTCTCTGAGAAAAAGATAAAGCATCTAAATATGAGGAGCTTCTTAGGGAAGAACAACATAAGAGGAACTCTTCCAAAGGCACATATTACAAGACTCCTTCTTCAGTCCATCTAGTTGAGATAGACTCAGAAGAAGATGCAGAAGGCTCGGAGGAACGAGAAATTGCAGTAGCAGAGATGGCAAAATTGAAACATCCCATCAGCTACAAGGCTCTTACAAAGCCACCAAATGACCAAAAGCCGCTATCGTTCACAGGAGGGTTTGTTCCAAACCAACCAACACAGAACAAGGTTTACTCCTTTGATCTGTCCAAGGTGGATGCTTTATTTGATGAAATGCTGCTACAGAAAGCAATAGAGACACCACATAGGATGCCCAAGCCGGAAGAGCTCAAGGGCATGCAGTATTACAGATGGCACAACTTTTGGAACCATTCCACCAATAGTTGTGTTGTTTTCAGAGATGTCATACAGGAAGGAATAATAGCAGGAAGGTTGAAACTGGTAGAGAAACCTCCATCAGTTACAACAGATCCTTTCCCTCAGCCACAGGTCAACATGGTCAACTTGAATTGGCCAGAACAGAAGAGAACTAAACCAACGACAGAAGCTAGCTCCAGCAGAAGTAGAAGAGTCATAAGGGAAACTAGTCGTAGGCCAAGAACAACTATCTCGGCTGGGGTAATGCTTTGCAGCAAGTGCAAGTGTGAGACTGAGTCAGAAGTGGTTTTGGATAGGCAGAATCAGCCCACACTAGTGTTTTCGACAAGATTGTAACGTCATACCACTAGCAAGGTCCAGTTCCGATTCTATCCCAAGACAGAGCTAGACAAAAGGACCATTTTAGATCTGCTAGCGCAGCAGAAGAGTAACAGAGCAACCCAAGGAGGAGATACCTATTGTCGGCTGTGCAAATCTCATGGCCTAGTGCTCCGGGCTGAGGGGATGTGCGTTAACATGTGATGTCCTTCTTTTGGATGCAGTGCGGTTGTGCGCGGGCGTGCCAGCATGGTCTACCGTGCGTCGAGATGGTGATGGGGTTTGGGTAGAAGATGGTTAAGTGATGCGCCTGTTTTGAGTTCGACTCCTAATCAAACGATTGTGGCCGAGAGAGGAACTGATCTCGGCCGTCAGGTTCACGGCCTGAGCTACAAGGCCGTTTAGTAGTGGTGTTGGTGGCGGGTTTTAGGCGATGCTCCGGCGCGTTGCTCAAAGAGCGACGGTCGTATGATATATGGGGTGAATGAGATGATAATAGAGATGGTGCTCCGGCGCCTTAAAAATCAAGGGTCATATGATATATTGATGAATGGATTTTCCTTACAATCTACCACTACTCCTAGAAAAGCAAATAAAGGTATTGAAAGTGCATTACAGGAAAAGATAATTTGCTCCGTGGGAGGCTTTTGGTTTGGTGTTTGGACCTTTTGAATGTAGTCTTAAGCTTAGTATTTATAGGAGGAGTCCTGGAGGGACAATCGAGGCTGAAAAGATTTGCGTGGTGGAACCTGATCGAGCCAAGTGGGTAGTCAAATCAGCATTTGGGATCGTGAAGCATGGTGATGTGACCCCTATAAATCCCTGTAAATCTCGACCACCGCCCTGATCGTGGGTCCTGCCCCCTTGGCCGTGGGAACGCATTTAATGCCCTGGTCTGGTGGTTGGTGATCTAACCTCAAGTTGTAAGAATACTTGTGAGAATGTTTGCGCTTAACCACTCTGATTTCCATCACCAAATCCTGACTTCAGTCACTTCCCCTCTTCCCTCGTGCATTAAATTCTTCTTGCGACTAGTGGGTTTGCTGCGATAGACAGAGGCATTACTTCATTAAATGGGGCGTGGGACCTTGAGGCCACGTGGCGATTTAACCACGTGTCTCTTACGGCCTTCGGCTTTGGCCTATAATACCACGGTCGCGAGGCCGAGAGGATTCTGCCTTCACAGCTTTTCTTTTGTTTTTAGGAAGGAAAAATGCCTAACGAAACGTGGCCGTTTCGGTTCATGAGTAGGTGCTAGGGCCGAGAGGAAATCCCTTCGGTCAATTTATGACCGTGATTTATTAGGCACAAACACCTATTAAGATGACCGGGAGTGAGAAACCCTTGGCAGCTATCGTAGAAGGCAGATGACATTCTATAGGGAAAAGTGGTAGACCAACTCTAGAGCTAACCAGAACTCAGAAGAGGAGGGTTCAAAGGCAATACTGCACTTTCCTCAACCCTAAACCCTAGGGATGACACACAGCTACTTCCAGAAGCCAGTTCTACGAGAAAGAGAAAGAATTCGAAAGTACCTCCTCTGGCAGAACAAATGGCTTGCCAGCCACAAAAGCTGGGAAGAGAAGAATATCCAGGTAGACCTTCTATCAATCCGAATCTATTCTAGTGGATGGGAAAGAGGACTGGATTGAAGAAAATGAAAAGGAGCAGTTGGACAATGAACCATCTGCAAATGACCAGAATGAACTCCTCGAAACAGGAGAGCAGGAAGACTGGACAGAAGAGTATGGGGAAGAGCAGATGGAGTATGATTGAGAACTGGATGGAGAAACTAAGGCTTTTGGCACAGAACTAGAAAGCCTGTTACAGGGTGATCTAGGCATCAACATGGTGTTCATCCTGCCAGAAAAGTTCAGGGCAGCAGAAGGGCAAGAAAATACTCTAGAGGGAGACGTGTTTTCACAAGAAAGCTTTGAGTGCCGGCTGACAGAGGTAGAAGAGGCACCAGAACAGCAAACAGGTACTCAAAAGATAGGCGGAACTACCACCAAACTAGCTGCAGAACAGCTTTTCTTCTCCAAACCAACTAGGGAAATGACCAATCACCTCAGGCCTTTGTTTATAACAGCAAATTTTGGGGGTATTCCCATTTCCAAAGTCTTGGTAGATGGAGGTGCATCCATTAATCTTCTGCCTCACAGATTGCTGACCAAGATGGGCAGAACAGAGTAGGATTTAATACCAACACGTTTGACTATCACCAACTTCGCTGGGGGCATCACCAAGACTCATGGAATCCTGGATGTGGATGTCATAGTTGGAACCAAAGAACTGAAGATTGCATTCTTTGTGGTAGACACCACTTCTACCATTTACAATGCACTGCTTAGCAGGGACTGGATTCACCAAAGCTTATGTGTTCCTTCCACTCTGCATCAGCAATTAGCCCTTTGGAATGAAGAAGGTCACATGGAGATACTAGAGACCGATCCACGACCATTTCTGCCTTCTGCCATGTTTTTTGAGGCAAGGTATTATCATGATGACCTTGGTCCTTTCACCTTCCTTGGAGTCAACCAGAACGGCAGCCCTCATGGTGTCACGGCCCAGAGACTCATTGAAGATGGTCTAGCCAGTTCTCTAGAGGACTGGAATATACCTTTTGTTCTAAACCTCCAAAACTCTGATGTTTAGTCTCAGTCAAAAAGATTGTTGATATATTGGGAAGAAATGAGGCTCTCTATGCAGGATTCAGCCATCAATATGGCAGAATTCACCCATGAGAGCACTGAAGAATAGGAAGAGACTCTATAGGAGGAAGTACTAGACTTTGCGCCAGCAGCACTAGACGATTCTTTACCAGAAGTGGAAGATCCATTGCAAGAGATAAACTTAGGGATAGAAGAGGATCCAAGACCCACTTTCATTAGTGCACTGTTGAAAAAACCACTTAAGAGTGAACTCGTTGCACTTTTGCAGGAGTTCAGAGATTGTTTTGCTTGGCATTATCATGAAATGCCGGGATTAGATAGAAAATTGGTGGAACACAAGCTGCCAATTAAGGAGGGTTACCTTCCAGTTAAACAGGCCAGAAGAAGAATGTCTATGGACACCGAACTGAAGGTCAAAGAAGAAATAGAAAGATTACTCAAAGCAAGATTCATTCGACCAGCCATTTATGCTTATTGGCTAGCCAATATTGTGCCAGTTCTGAAAAGAAAAACATGGGCAATTAGAATCTGTGTGGACTACAGGAATCTGAATGAAGCATCTCCCAAGGATGAGTACCCTATGCCAATGGCATATATGCTAGTAGATGGAGCTGCTCATAACCAGATGCTATCTTTTATGGATGGCAATGCAGGATATAATCAAATCATGGTGGCAGAAGAAGACATCCATAAGACAGCTTTCATGTGTCCAGCACATATAGGTGCTTTTGAGTATACTGTAATGCCTTTTGGCTTAAGAAATGCAGGAGCTACTTATCAAAGAGCAATGAATTCTGTTTTCCATGATATGATAGGGCATTCTCTGGAAGTATATATACATAATGTGGTGATTAAATCCCCAGAGGAGGGAAATCATGTATCAAATCTGAGAAAGGCATTCCTAAGAATGAAACAATATGAACTGAAAATGAACCCCAAGAAATGTGTTTTTAGAGTTCAAGCAGGAAATTTCTTAGGTTTCTTGGTCCACCAAAGAGGCATAGAGATTGACAAAAACAAAGCAAAATCCATCATAGAAGCTTTACCACCTCAGAACAAGAAAGAACTGCAGAGTCTCCTAGGAAAAATTAATTTTTTAAGGAGATTCATATCTAATTATGCAGGAAAGATCCAGCCTTTCTCCTCTTTGTTAAGACTGAAACAGGAATAGACGTTCAAGTGGGAAGAATAGCACCAACAAGCTTTTGAGGAAATCAAGCATTACCTCTCAAATCTACCAGTTCTGTCCCCACCAAAGAGAGGCAGACCATTCAAGCTCTATATGTCTGCATCAGAAGTGTCCATTGGGAGTCTGTTAGTCCAAGATAACAAGGAAGGGAAGGAGCAGGCAGTCTATTATCTGAGCAGAACTCTGACAGAATTGGAAAGGAAATATTCTGCAATTAAAAGGCTTTGTTTGGCCTTATACTTCACTGCTGTGAAGCTCGGGCACTACATGTTGCCATTCACCTTCTACATTATTGCCAGGACAGACCTAATCAAATACATGCTAACAAGGCCAATGTTGAGAGGCAGAATTGGAAAATGGACTCTGGCCTTGACAGAATTTGCTTTCAGATATGTCCCTCAGAAAGCTGTAAAATGACAGGCTGTAGCAGACTTCCTAGCAGATCATCCAGGAGACGAGATTGAAAACATGGACTCTTTGGACATAGAAAATGCGGATCTGCTGACTAGAGCCCATACTTGCCTTAACAATCCCATTTATTCAGTTCACCTCACACCTTGGAAGCTGTACTTTGATGGATCCAGAACTGATTTAGCTTCCGGGGCAGGGATTGTTTTGGAAGAACCATTGGGGATCAGACACTACTATTCCTTCCAGTTAGATTTCCAGTGCACCAACAACAAGGCTGAATATGAAGCTTTAATCATTGGATTAGAAATGTTGGTGGAATTAGGGATCCAATCTGTGGAGATCCTGGGAGATTTCATGCTTGTGTTGAAGCAAATTGCTGAAGAATACAAGTGTCTAAGTCCTTCTTTAGCTATCTATTTAGTAGCAGCTAGGAATCTTTTGACATAATTTAGAGAAGCTACTTGGGAACACATCCCAAGGGAGGAAAACTTTGCAGCCAATGAACTGGCTTAAGTAGCAACATGTATACAAATCCCTGAGGACTGTGTGCAGAGGATCATCAAGGTAGGGAAGGAAAGTCTACCATCTGTTCTGACCAGAGGAATGGAGATAGATGTCAATTCTGCCATACTCACCAAGGATGATTGGAGAAATCCTATCATAAATTACTTGCAGTATCTAACCTTACCTTCTGAGAAAAGAGTCAGAATCATGGCTTTGAACTACCTTATGTGGGATGGAGATTTGGTCCGAAAAAGCAAGGATGAGGTACTATTGAGGTGCCTTGGGAAGCAAGAATACATGAAGGTCATGGGAGAAACCCATGAAGGAATCTGTGGAGCTCATCAAGGAGGAAGGAAAATGTGCTGGTTAATTAGAAGGTATGGCTACTTTTGGCCAACCATGATGAAGGATTGCATTGACTACTCCAAGGGATGTGAGGCTTGTCAAAGGCATGGCCCAATCCAGCAGGCTCCTTTAGTTCCCATGAATCCAGTAGTCAAGCCATGGCCATTGAGAGGATGGGCAATGGACCTCATTGGTAAAATTTATCCAGCCAGCAGCAAGCAACACTGTTTCATCATTGTTGCTACAGACTATTTCACCAAATGGGTGGAGGCCAAGCCTGTTAAATCCACTACATCTCAAGAGATCATCACTTTCATAGAAGACCAGATTATACAAAGGTTTGGCATTCCAGAATCAATCACACCTGACAAAGGGCCTTCTTTCATATATGGAGAAATGCTAGATATGGCAGAAGCATTCAAATTCAAACTGATCTAGTCCACTCCTTATTATGCTCAAGCTAATGGGTAGGCAGAATCAAGCAATAAGGTGATCATCAACATTATTAGAAAAATGCTTGAAAAAATCCAAAGCAGTGACATGAGAAGTTATTAGAAACTCTGTGGGCATATAGAACTTCAAGGAGCGAAGCAACTGGCATGACCCCATATGCTTTAACTTATGGCCATGATGCAATTCTACCTATCGAAATAGCAGTCCAGTCTCTCAGAATTGCTCATCAACACAATCTGGTTGGAAAAGACTTCTCTCAAGCCATGCTGCTAGAACTGGAAGGATTGGATGCAAGTAGGATTGATACCCTACAACAAGAGAGTTAAAAACAAGAGAAGGGAGAGATAGTTTGGAAAGCAGTTCTGCCCCTTGGAACACATATAGCTAGGTATGGAAAGTGGTCACCTACATGGGAAGGCCCTTTTATAATAAAGCAAATTCTCGGAATGGGGGCATACAGATTACAGGATCGAGATGGAGAAGTTCATGTTGCGCCAATTAATGGCAAGTGCTTAAAGAAGTTTTATCCAACCATGTGGGATTCACAGGCTGCACAAACAGATCCTGGGATAGAGAAGGAACAAGATGAAACTGTTGTTTAAATTGTTAAAATACGTTTTTAATTCACCCTTTTTTTTTTGTCAAGAGAAATCGAAAATTTCACAGAAATAAATAAGCTTTTATTTAAATATAGCCATTTTTCATGGCTAATTGTTTATTACAGAGTCTGAATTTAAAAATCTAAAAGCCTAACTTCTTAAGAGTCTCCTGTAAACTAGCCATCTTGATAGAAAGTTCCTTCTGGAGTAGCACCCCTTGGTGGATTGAGGCCTCTGCAATCTTCAAGGCTGGCCTGGAAGCTGAAACCATGTTCTGCACAAGAAAGGTGGCCTTAGTCTTGGAACTCAGTCCAGGCCTGAGCCTGTTCTGCACTTCCCTGCATTCTACCAGCTGCTTTTGAAGCTCTTCAATCTGCTTCTCCAGCCTGTCTGCAGTGGCCTTGGCCTCCTTGTACCCAACCTGTTTGCAGTGGCCTTGGCTTCCTTGTACCCAACAACCATCTGGTCCAGTTTTGCTTTTTGCTTTGCATAATCAGCCAAGTTGGCTTCATGAGTGGCTTTGCAGAACTCAGAGGTCTTGAAGGTGGGCTTGAGATCTTCATAGCGGTTATGAAGGTTGAGCACATCTCTGGCCAGACCAATGCTCATTTCCAGAATAGGCTTGGAAGCCATGTTCTGCCTGTGCAAGAGGTCCATATCCTGGATCAGTTGATCAACAGCCTCCATGTCCTCATCCAGTTCCAGCTCAATAGACTACCAAATCTTCACCCTCTCCATTGCCTCATCCACCACCTTGGACTTAGCCTTGCCAGGAGTGGAACTCAATTTCTCCAACTTATCCAGCTGGGCATCCAAATTCATCGCTTCAAACTTTGCTAGCTCTGGGCAGGAGAACCAGGAAAGGAATGAATGGGCATTTGCAAGAAGAGTTCAAGTGAACTCTATGCAAGATTTTGAAACTAAGGAAAAATCCAGAGTGAACATGTACTTACAGCAACAATGGGAGGCACCGGAGGATTGGTCATCACATCCAAAACCCCAGCAGTCCTGGGCACTTCTACCTGGAAAGGCTAATGATTAGGGAAATTTAAACAGAACATAATTGCAGAAAACAGATAGAGATGAAACTAGAACAGGAAATTACCACAAGTCTAGGAACAGCAGCAGAGGCCTCCACTTCAGGTTCTGAGGCTGCAACAAGAAGATTTGCCTGCTCCACAGGTTCTAAAATAGATGGCTTTAACCGCTCCATGGGCATTTGGGCTGCAGCAGAATGTTCTGCCTCCACATCGTCGAATAAAGCCAGTTTTGAGCTTATGGGTTTTGCCTTCTGAGCTTCTTGTTGTTGTTTGGCCAAGGCAATGCTTTCTGCTATCACCTCAGCAGGAATCTCCTCCTACAAGCAGATATAAGTCAGAAGGTAGAAAGAAAGAGAACATACACCAAAATACATATAGTGATGAAGTAAGGGCTCACCTCTTCTTCTGGCTCTTTGTTCTTCTCCTTGGAAGGGACATCTTCTTCTTCTTCCTGTTCTCTTTCCTGCTCCACGGCATCAAAGGCTTCCCTAAGTTCTTCATCTGTCCCATAAGTGGTTGTTGGAGCTGCTGCAGGTTCTTCTGTGGCCACATACTCCACCTTAGTCCTCTTTTTAAGTCTTTTGGACTTAGTAAGAGGAGGAGGAGGACTTTCAGCTGCACATAACAATGAAATGAAGGTTAGAAGAATGGGCAAAGCAGAACAACACTGTCCTGGGCAGGAGCAGTTTCTTTTCTCTTCCTTCTGGAAGAAGGAGTGGCCTCCACAGCTGCTTGTTCTGTCTGAGCCTCATCCTCTTCATCTCCAGAAGGAAGCTCTAAGTCTCCAGCTGAGATAACAGAAGTAACTGCACCAGAAATGGACAATGTCAGAAGTCAATCCAGCAGGAAAACAATAAAAGGAACAGAATGTTAAAAAACTTACCAATCACCTCTCCACCCTGAACAGATTATCCACTGATGTTCCTTGTCAGGGAAGGATCTGTTGCAAAATAGAATGAATGTTAGATATCGTCACAAGGACAGAATAAGTAAAATACAGACAGAATCAGGAGTCTACCTTCGATAATCTGAGCATTGATGTCTTTGACAGACTGCACCATAAAACTCTTGGCCTCTGCCCCTGCATAGACAGTCCATGAGTCCCAACCATCAAAAAGCACCTTGAGTGCAGTACTGGAGCCAGGCAGGCCTTGAAATCTAGCCTTCCCCCCAGGCTAGATAGAGGGCATCTGCGCTGTTGTTTATCTTATTCACCGCACATCTGACGTCCTTGTGCAGTTCTAAGTCATCCAGGTCCTTCCAAGAAGTGGCCCGATTATAGCTTCTATAGGATTTGAGTGGAATTAACTGAGGACAGCCAAGTTGCCGTGCGTAGAAGTTGGGATGATAGACTTCTAGCCCTAAATGATAATTTAGAGGCTTTCCTCCTCCATAGGGTAGATCTCTGGGCAGGGTAACACTTAGGAATTTTTTCCTGAAATCTGTTTTGGCAGATTCCTCTTCTGGCTCCTTCTCGAACAGCCGATATCCAGGCTGGAGCTAAGGGTAGGTCCTTCTGATCACCACCTGCCACTGAGCTGCTGACCTCTTAGTGCAATGCCTAAAAAACATCAAGTACTCCTCAATTGAAGACTTGATCCTCAGGCAGAACTATATCTGGGAACCTCAGTTCAGGGAAATAATCCTGCAGCCAGATCTAGATCATCCAGAAAGCTCTAGGAGCAGACAGGTTCAGTGGATTCTCCAAAGTGGCGGTGTGCATATTCTTGAATAGGTGGGCTAGAACTTGGGCCAAAATCTGGCGCACCCAGCCCAACACTAAAAATGGCATAGAATAAACAAAAGGGCACAAGGCCCACAGCCAGACTTTGCAAAACAATAATTGAAGGCCCAAACCAGAATTGATCAAACAAATTGGAGCAATCAAAACCTCTCTTTCTCTCTCTCTCTCTCTTAGGATTCCCAAGCTCAGACTTAGAGAAAAAGTTATTCAAAACGAGACTTCTCTCGTTACAAATTTGGTTAAGCAAAAGCCAAAATAAGCAGAGTGTGAGTTTTCACAAATATGAAAACCTCAACAAATTTGTGGAGAGCCATGATCAAGCAGAACAAGTACCACAGTGCAGTTCCAGCTCAGTAAGTCCTCGAGTCCAGCCACTTCTGCCCCGTTCAGACCATAGAAGTTGCAGTTCTGCCCATCCAAAAAGCCTTCCAGGTCTTGATATAGATTAAAGCTCTGCCAAACTCAAACTTTGGTATCAATTTGCAGCTGAAGCTCAGCAGTTGAATTTGTTGATAGTTCAGTCCAACCCAGACATACCCAGTTCAGCCCAGATCAGAAACTTCCCTCTAGGCAGAAATGGAGTTCCAGCTCTCTTTTTGTCTTTCTAGAGTTGATTTTGTTCCTTTGTAAATTTGTAAAAGGCAGTTTTGCCTAAGACAGTCCACTTTATTATCCATTATTCCGGCCAAAACCACCAATTTTGTATTGAGATAAATTGTGAAAGTCATCACCAGTCTGAGGCAAGAAAAGAACTTACTTGGGAGATATTCCTCACCCAAATTCACAATTGCTTATTTAGAAATCAGTAACTTGGGGCGCAAGTTATCTGTTTTAAAGAAGTCTGCTAGAATTCTTATTGCTAGCAGTGGCACGCTCGCACACCAAAGAAAGTTGACTTGTTGACCATTCAATGGTTTTCAAGGCAATGGGGAACTTTGCCCTTCCTTCACAGGAGTAAAAACTAAATGGGTGAACACAAGGAAGGTGAAACAGATGAGATGTGTAGAAAAAAAAAGATAGTAAGGACAAATAGAAAGAGAACGAGGTAATGTTCGTGAAAATTGCAAAGCAAAGTTAACAGTAGTTTATGATGGGTTCAATTTTGTAGTTAAGACTTTCATTGAGGAACATACTCATCCACTTGCAACACCAGTACATCTGTTAAGATCGCATCGTGGTGTATCAAATACAAAAATTAAGTTGGTAAAAAAGTTTTCCAATGTGAACATTCCATTATATCAACAATTTGAACTCTTGGAGACACAAGCTGGGGGACATGAAAGTGTTGGGTTCATAGAAAGAGATTTAAGAAATTTTGAGCGAGATGAAAGGGAGAAAATAAAGGGTCATGATGTAGAAATGTTATATGAGTACTTCAAATCGGAGGAAGATAAGGATTCCGATTTCTTTTTTAAGTTTGAGACAGATAATAATAATAGGATGACTAGATGTTTCTGGGTTGACTCTATTGCAAGGAAAGCTTATACACATTTTGGTGATGTGGTTGTATTTCATACAACCTACAATACAAATCATTATGCAATGATATTTTCTCCTCTTGTAGGTGTTAACCACCCTGGGCAAACTACCATTTTTTATATTTTCTTCTTTTTCTTATGTGTTTTGGATTTGGTTGTATTTATGCAGTACGTCTACTAAAGAAAATCAGGTCAATGAAACATTTATGGAAAAGAGTACAACTGATGAATAATAGCTTGTGGATTGCTACAGGGTAGGTAGGTGATATGTTGTTTGGTACTTGACGTCAAGTTGTGTTCACAACGGCCGGATCAACAGTTCTCTAGATTTTATGTTCGGTTAATTTTTTGGGGAATGCTAGCAACCTTCTCTCTAACCTTCTCTTTTTTTGCTTGACATGTGTCATTCTCCTTGCACTTAAAACCATGTCATTAATATATTATACAAGTTAATTTTTGATTTCCAAGTTTACCCTTATTAAATGAATTCAATTTATGCAAAAAATATTTACAACTTTCTTACCATCTTATTATAAATTTTTTAAAACGTCAATTATTTTTTTAAAGAAGATGTCTACTTTTTTCGAAAAAGAGGAAATGTCCCCTTTTTTTAAACACAGAGGACTTTTTTTTTCCTATCTAAACCCTTTGTGTTATATAAAATAAAATTAAAAAAAAAAAAAAAAAAAAAAAAGGGGGGATTTCCTCTTAAAAGCATATTTTTTCTTTTTTTCTTTTTTAAATAATTTATGTTAGATAATAATTGTTACCAAACAATCTTTTTCGTTTTAGTAAATGGTAGGTACATTCACTACTACATTTTACTATTTGCGTGACGATATTTTGGGTGACGAAAGAAAATTCGTCGCGCAAAATACACTCTAGCGACGGAAACAAAAATTCGTCGCGCAAACAGACGAAAACATGCGCAACAAAACTTTTGGTCGCGCAAAGAAACTTAGCACGACAAACTAATGAGTCGTCGCGCAAAGTGGGGAAGAAAAACTCGGGTTTATTTTTTTTGGCGCCAAACATTTGTGCGACGATATTGATTGTCGTGAAAGATATCCTGGCGTGACGGCTTCGAATTTCGTCGTGTAAAGGTGGACAGAAAAGCGTGCGATATCTTTTTTTGGCACCAAATACTTGCGCGACGGAAATACAATTCATCGCATAACATTTGATGTCGGCACGTTCTTGTGTGACGGAAATTTGCGTATGCGTGACGCCGTTCAGATTTTGAGCGACAAAAGTTTGCTCGATGAATCAGAAATTTCGTCGCGCAATAGCCTGAGGCTGACAAGTGCTTGCGTGATGAAAAAAGTTATTTTATGGGATGAAAAACGGTTTTGCATGACGAAAATGTTGTTTCGTCACGCAAAATCCTTCGTCTACATCTCTGGATTCTGCCATTGCAGAGGCAGAATGCAAAAAAAAAATTGGAACCTCTCTCTATCTGTGTTGCTGCCTCTGCTGGGAATTCAATCTGCTCATTGGGTCAGTATTATTTGTCGTTTGTTTAAAAGTATTAATGTAAATTCATACTAACGCTATTAATTTGTTCTCATTATAGATATTTGTAATTAGCGATTGTGGAGAGCGATTGAGAAGGTATTTTATTCATTTTATATTAAATTAATTACATTATGTTGAACTTAGTTTGTTATTTATATTTTTTGTTGTGAAATTATATTTATATTATGTTGTTAAAATGTGCGTGACGTAGCACAATGTCTTGTGATGTACGAAGTTAATTAAAATTAACTTCGTACTTTTATTATTATTTTTTAGTAACACTTAGTTTCCCGTTAGAGATTAGTTGGATTTCGTGCATGGATGCGTAAAGCATGACTGCAGTCCAATTAATTCTTGAATTATCCCATTATTTGGATAGTTTAGTAATGCATAGTGTTGTAATGTAATCTACGGCTACAGGATTAGGTTTCGATTGTGGAGATTTCGGTGTCATCTTGGTACGTTCTTCGGGTGGTACGTAGGTATTTATACCTATGCCCACCTCAAGAACTGTATCGTGATGCTGCCGAAATTCATCCACGTTGAAATCTAATCTCTTGTAGCCGTAGGTTACGTGACAAGACTATGCATTCCCGAATGGGATAGGGCCCTTACCGAAGGCATAAGGTGACATTATAACTTCGTATGAAGTTGTTGTGATTGCTGTGTTGTGATTGTGGTTTCAGGAATTATGAGCAGAAGGTGGATACAGAACCCGAATACTTGGATGAATTGATGATTTTATTGAGTTTGCATGTAGACACAACCCGAGTGCAACTAGAATCCGTTGTCCTTGTAGGAGGTGTAACAACACGTTGTGAGAGACAATTGAAAATGTTGGATTTCATTTAGTAAGGAATGGAATGATTGAGACATATAACATTTGGAACCTTCACGGGGAACAATTAGACAATGCTTCGTCTTCAAATGCCACAAGAGTAGACAACGTTGAACCTATTGTGGATCCTAATGAACAAGTCATGGATATTATAAATTATGCTTTTCCATTTGCATCGACCAACATCAATCAGGAAGGGGAAGATGACGTGCCTACCCCAATGGACAGTGCAAAGTTCGAACAATATGAACAACTGTTAAAAAATGCAAACCAAGAGTTATACCCGGGATGCGAGAGCTTTTCTGTTCTCACGGCCATTGTGGAGCTAATGCACGGAAAAATAAAGTATCGTATGTCGAACCTGTGTTTCGATTACTTTTTGGGGGTTTTCAAGAGAATGCTTCCGACGGACAATTATTTGCCGAAAGACCATAGACATGCGCAAAAGGTGTTAAATGGTCTTGGATTGGGTTATGAAAAAATTCAAGCTTGTAAAAACAATTGCATGTTATTCTACAAAGAGTATGAAACATTGGATACATACCCTATATGCAAAGAGTAGAGGTTCAAGATGACATCTCAGAATAGAACAACTAAGATCCCACAAAAAATCATGCGTTATCTGCCCCTAAAACCTAGGCTATAGCGATTGTATATGTCAACTCATACTGCCACAAACATGAGATGACATAAGGAAAAACGGGTAGACGACGATGTGATGTGGCATCCTGCAGATGGGGAGGCATGGAAAGAGTTCGATCGAATATTCCCCGAGTTTGCTGCTGATCCCCGAAATGTTAGATTGGGACTTGCCACTGACGGATTCAATCCGTACGGGGTTCTAAACCAACACCACAGCACTTGGCCGATTTTTGTATTCCCATATAAATCGCTGCCTTGGAAATGCATGAAAAAAGAATACATGATGATGACTGTTTTGATAATTGAGGATCCTAGCAGGTCAATCGATGTTTACTTAAGGCCATTGGTTGATGAGCTCAAGGATTTATGGACAAACGGTGTGCTCACGTACGATAAATCCACTGGGAAGATGTTCACTTTGCGGGCATCAGTTATGTGGACTGTGAATGATTTTCCCGCATATGCAATGGTTTCTAGGTAGAGCACAAAAGGTTATATGGCATGCCTTGTATGCAAGGAAGATGTAACTTCTGGTTGGCACGCGGGAAATGTTTGTTATTTTGGTCATCGGAGATGGTTGCCATGGGACCACGAGTGGTGGGAAAAGGATAAAGAGTTTGACGGGGAAAACAGAGCATCGCCTCAAACCTAGAGAATGCTCCGATGATGAGATCTTGGAACAACTTAACCGTTTGGATTTTTCTTCGTTCGGGAAGATAGTTACTCGGACTAGACCTTCTACACATTTGAACTGGACACACCAGCCTATGTTTTTTGAGCTCCCATATTGGTCGAAACTAAAAATGAGGCACAATCTCGACGTTATGCATGTTGAGAAATATGTCTTTGACACATGAATGGGCACGATTCTAGATATCGAGGGTAAGACAAAGGACACGATCAAAGCTCGTCTTAATTTGGAAGAATAGGCATACGAACAGGTTTATGGATGAACAGGGATGGTGATAAATCTAGAAGGGATCTGGCATTTTTTTCCATGAAACCAAATGACAAAAAAGATTTTCTAAAGTTTGTATCGTCTGTAAAGTTTCCTGATAGGTATGCTTCTAATATCGCGCGTTGTGTGAATATTGACGGGGGTAAATTTAATGGACTAAAGAGCCATGACTGCCATCTGTTTATGCAACACCTACTTCCTGTGGGTACTCGACACCTTTTGCCAAAAGATGTAGTGAAACCAAACATGTTGTTGTCCAGATTTTTTTCCCAACTGAGGGCAAAAACATTGCGAAAGACAGACATTAATCAGTTGCGCCATGACATTGTCAAAGTCCTATGCAAGGTCAAGATGATATTCCCTCCAGCTTTCTTCAAAAGTACGATCCACATGATGGTTCACTTGCCAGAAGAGGCATTGCTCGCTGGTCCTGTCAACTATCACTGGATGTATCCAATAGAAAGGTATATAATCCTCATCATTTGTTTATGCATCCTTATCCCACTCTCGCTAAAATGTATCATTTCGTTTTATTTTGGCAAGCTTCTCGAAGAGCTAAAAAAACTGTACGCAACAGGGCGAACCCCGAATGATCAATTATAGAGGCTTGGGTTCAATATGAGTCGCTTATTTTCTGTGGAATGTATTTAAAAGATATGGACACAGTTTTCAATCATCCTCAGCGAAATAATGACGGAGGTCTGAGAAATGAGAAACTTTCTGTTTTTGCCCAAAGCGCACGACCCTTTGGAGATCCTGTACGAGGAGAGTCGTTTTCCAGATATGACATGGAAGTTGCGCATTGGTTTGTACTTAACAATTGTGATGAGTGTCGGCTGCGCAAATCTCACGGCCTGGTGCTTCGGGCCGAGGGAATGTGCGTTAACACGTGACGTCCTGCTTTTGGATGCGGTGCGGTTGTGCGCGGGCGTGCCAGTACGGTCTACCGTGCGTCGAGATGGTGATGAGGTTCGAGTAGAAGATGGTTAAGTGATGTGCCTGTTTTGAGTTCGACTTCTAATCAAACGATTGTGGCCGAGAGAGGAACTGATCTTGGTCGTCAGGTTCACGGCCTGAGCTACAAGACCGTTTAGTGGTGGTGTTGGTGGCGGGTTTTAGACGGTGCTCCGGCGCGTTGCTCAAAGAGCGACGGTCGTATGATATATGGGGTGAATGAGATGATAACAGGGATGGTGCTCCGGCGCCTTGAAAATCAAGGGTCGTATGATATATTGATGAATGAATTTTCCTTACAATCTACCACTACTCCTAGGAAAGCAATTAAAGGTATTGAAAGTGCATTACAGGAAAATATAATTTGCTCCGTGGGAGGCTTTTGGTTTGGTGTTGGACCCTTTGAATGTAGTCTTGAGCATAGTATTTATAGGGGGAGTCCTGGAGGGACAATCGAGGCTAAAAAGATCTACATGGTGGAGCCTGATCGGGGCAGGTGGGTAGTCAAATCGGCATTTGGGATCGTGAAGCATGGTGGTGTGACTCCCATAAATCCCAGTAAATCTCGGCCACCGCCCTAATTGTAGGTTCTGCCCCCTTGGCCGTGGGAACGCATTTAATGCCCTGGTCTGGTGGTTGGTGATCTGACCTTAAGTTGTAAGAATACTTGTGAGAATGTTTGCACCTAACCACTCTGATTTCCATTACCAAATCTTGACTTCAGTCACTTCCCTTCTTCCGTCGTGCATTAAATGCTTCTTGTGACCAGTGGGTTTGCTGCGATAGTCAGAGGCATTACTTCATTAAATGGGGCGTGGGACCCTGAGGCCACGTGGCGATTTAACCATAGTATCTTCGGCCGCGTCTCTTACGGCCTTCGGCCTCGGCCTATAATACCGGGGTCGCGAGGCCGAGAGGATTCTGCCTTCGCAGTCTTTCTTTTGTTTTTAGGAAGGCAAAATGCCTAACGAAATGTGGCCGTTTCAGTTCATGAGCAAGTACCAAGGCTGAGAGGAAGTCCCTTCAGTCAGTTTATGACTGTGATTTATTAGGCACAAACAATGAGATAATGGCACACTTAGATGAGCATGAAGAGATGATGAAGAGAGAACATACATCACATTTGTATGCCAGAACACCGTGATTTGTTTCCACAACGATTTTTGGAATATGTAAGTTATGAGTGTTTTCTATTTGATCTTTAATTAGTTTGCTGCAGTCTGACATAAAGACAGCCTTAAAATCTGCGTTTGGTATTTTGGATGGGCCATTGCCTGTCATTGATTGGTGCCGAGGTCACAACCAATCAGGTGAAAGTGAGGTAAGGTTGAGAACTTGAGAGAGACGAACCCCCATCTGATCTTCGCCACGTGGCTTTTCGCACCGCATAGTCAGACTCTTCCCTACTTGCGAGTAGCTTTAGGCTTTTAGCCTTGAATGAAAAATGAACGAGATAAGAAAATGAGATGTAATAAGTTACAGAGATAGAGAGACACGCCATGCGGTCATGGGCGGCTACTGTGGGTCCCGGCCCGACGTTCCGACCCCACTTGATAGTGTTCCTTTCTTCATCTTCTTTTCACCAGCGGGAAAAGCAAGGTATTGCCGCGTGGAATAATTAATAATTAATTAGTAAAGAACCAATGGATCAAATTTCTTGAAAAGGAACTTTAACCAAGAGGCCGCCGTCTCGGTTTAGTCTTTGCATCAGTGAGCTTTGGGACTAAAGTCAAGTTGGTTCGGTTTCATGCATACTCCACCTCCCTGGTGGGGGCTGCCACTTTAAGCTTTATGTCTCTTTTAACTTATGCCACTTTAATCTTGTTTTGAAAGTGGTTGGTTATTGCAAAAGACTCACTAGTGTAATGATTTGGAGTAATTGTTTCTTAAAGAAAAATTATGGGTTTGAGTCGTAGCATCAGTGTAGTGTGTGTAAATTTAGTATGTTATTGGTTATCTCAATAAATAAAAAAATATTAAAAAATAAGTTATTGGTTTGTATTATATTTATTATATTGGCGGGGGAATGATGGATTTTGCGATTGGCAGTCTGACATAAAGACAGCCTTAAAAACACCATAAGAATGTATATAAAAAAATTTAATTCAAATTTAAAAATTTAATTTAATTTAAATTTCAGATCTTGACGGAGACGTTGGATCAGACTCTCGAGAGGAGGCCGGTGACATATTGTCGGGGGAAGGGGAATGCCCGCCTGAGGGAACCTAGACCCCGTTCATCAGCGCAGGAAAACAGTCAGGTGACTGCTTTGACAACACAGGTGGCCGCGCTTCAGAGTCAGATCTTGGTGATTCTACAGTTTGATGCGTCGACCTCCGAGCCCATCCACCCTGAGCATGCCCGCCAGACCACTGCCCCTGTGGACCCCCAGACCTCCGAGCTGCATATGCTTGACGGCCAAGTAGATTTTGGAACATTATTTGATTAGTTTTTTATTTTTATAATTATATTTTAAACATTTCTCTTGTAACACATTTATTTTATTTTATATAATTTTTTGTTCTCTTCAATTCATTTTTTGATTGCAATTTAAAAATAAAAAACCAAATTTATTTTTTTACAAAATAAAAAAAAACGTAATATTAAATTTAAATAATATATATTAATTTTGCGCAAATTCACATTTTACAAAATAAAAAAACTAAAAACAACATTTTAATTACATATATTTATTCTTGCGTGACGAACATATTCGTCTCGCGAAAACATTATGAGCGACGAATGAATATGTCGTCGCGCAATACTGTTCGTCGCTCAAATATACCTGCGACGAATATGGTTTCGTCGCGCAAAGGTTTGTGCGACGAATAACTGTGTCGTCCCTAAACCTTTGGTGCAACAATGGTTAACCCCGTCGCTCAGTTTTGCGCAACCAATGCGGAAACTTGGTCACACAAAGTCTTTCTGTTTGGGCCAAAATCTGGTGCACTCAGCCCAACACTGAAGAGCCCAAAAAAGCAGAAGCCACAGGATCCAAATATGGACTTTGCATAATAGGAATCAAAGGCCCAAAATCCAAAAGGCCCAACCCATGATTTGTCAAAACCACAACAACGAACTTGGGCTTCGAAAAAGAAAAAATCAGCTCATAGCTCAAACTCAAAACTGAGCTTGGCATAATTAAAGGAGAAGAAGGCCCAAAATTGGAGGCAAACCCACGTGATCTCTTGACTTGGAAAAGTCAATAATTTCAACTATTATAGAGGAAGTGATGGAGAATTAAATGAGAGCAGGTCAGTAGCAAAAGACTTCTCTGAAAACTCTGAGGCCAAAAAGATCAACATCCTTTTTTATATTCAGAGAAAATCTTCGCTCCAAAGAAAGGCACTATTTTCAAGAGATAAGCAGACTGCATTTGGAAGATAAGGAGGAAACAGGGAGTTGTTCAAAATGGAAAATCAAACTAACCATCACAGTTTGAGCTCTTACAGAGGGCAGTTAAATTGGAAGAAGGGTTAGGTTTCCTCTCAAAGAAATACAGGGAAGTGATCTGAAGAACTGACTATTGAGAGCTTATCTGCCAGAATTGATAAAATCCCTTTTCCTTTGTATTTAAAAATGAGAGATCTTTTGAGAATTTTTGCCGCCCATTATTTAAAAAAAGAAACCCTGCTCCAACATTTCCTATAAATATAAGAGAAAGTGAACAGAATCAAGGACACTCAACTCAACAACCAATCAAACAACCAAAAATAAGCCAAAGGCAAAAAACACAAAATGATCATTTGATCACTGAAACAATCCACTTTATTATCAATTATTTTGGCCAGAACCACCAATTTTGTACTGAGAGAAATTGTGAAAGTCCTCACCAGTCTGAGGCAAGAAAAGAACTTACTTAGGAGATATTCCTCACCCAAATTCAGAATCTCTTGTTTGAAAATCAGTAACTTGGGCGCAAGTTATCTGTTTTAAAGAAGTCTACTAGAATTTTTATTGCTAGCAGTGGCACGCTCGCACACCAAAGAAAGTTGGCTTGTTGACCATTCAATGGTTTCCAAGGCAATGGGGAACTTTGCCATTCCTTCACAGGAGTAAACACAAAATGGGTGAACACTTTCTTCATGCTCTTTGCGCGACGGATTTTTTGTCGCGCTGAAATTTGTGGGACTAAATTTAACTTTGCGCGACGAAATCCTCTACGTCTCGCAAAGCGTAAAATGTAGTAGTGATTTGGCAAATTTCATTCTGAGCCACACCCAGCCGCAATGGTGGGCAGATGGTGCCATTGCATAGGTCTCATGATTTTTTAGGGCGACTCTCAAATTTTTCTCACATTTATATATTGTATATTTTATATATGTTTGAGCTCACAATATACTTAATATGGTTGTGTCCCTAGTAAATGGCACTAGCATCACTGAACTCGTAACTAATTAAGCAACATTACCACACTTACCACTGGATATTCATTACTTTTATTGTTTTATGGCATTGATTCATGGCTTCTTTTTTCTTTTTCTTTTTTCAATATTAGATTATATGAGGGCCCCAATTTTAGTTTTTAAAAACCAGATATTTCAAAGTCATATTTTTAAAAACCAGTCAGCTTCTCTCTCTCTCTCTCTCTCTCTCTCTCTCTCTCTCTCTCTCTCTCTCTCTCTCTCTCTCCTCCCACGACTCTGTCGCACAACCCCATTTTTCCAACTTGTCCGGCCATCATTTCAAACGAAATGACTTGAAAAATCTTCCTCTCCTCCTCCCCTACCTGACCCACCCAATTTCTTCGATCAAAGGTCAGCGTATCGCCAGTGGGAGCTCCAGGAAACTCCGATTTTCTTCGAAACTTTCTAACGTCGATTTCGATGACTTCGGCGGCAGAATTTGAAATGAAAGCTGACACAAGAAAAGAATTCACACTAATCTTTTAAAAGAAAAATAAAGATAGTGTTTGGGCAAACAATCTACTCGCCCAGCCCAACAATAGGAGCCCAGGTAGACAGAGCTCAGAATCCAAGCAATTTGGGCTTTTTGTTTAAATTGGAATCAAGGGCCCAAATTCAAGAAAGTCCAGCCCGGGACCTGTCAAACCACGAGGATAAACTTGGGCTTCGAAAAAACAAAGAGATAAAAACAGCCCAAGTCAGATTTCTTAGGTTACCAAGAATAGACCCGAGAGTGGAAAAGGCCTAGTACATGTGATATGCTCAGCCCACGGTCCCAAAGCTCAAAATTAGGGCTTGGCATGATCAAGTGAAGAAAAATAAGCCCAAAATAAAGGCAAACCCACGTGACTACCTAAGCTTTGAAAAAGTCAGCAATCTCAACTGAGTTGATGGGAATTAATGAAAACAGGTCTTAAAACAGGCAAAAGTTCACAGCCTTTCTCAAACAAAAGAAGATCAAAATCCCTTTTTCTATATTTAGAAAATTGCTGCTCCAGAGAAGGCACCATTTTCAAGAGATAAGCAGACTACGTTTTTTAGAGATAAGTAGGAAGCAGGGAGTTGTTCAGTAGGGAGATCAAAACTAAACGGCAGTCTGAACTCTTACAAAGAGCAGTTAGAATTAAAGAAGGATTAGGTTTTCTTTCAAGAAAAATAGTAAAGTGACTGCCTTAGGAACTGATTGTTGATGGTCTACTTGCCAGAATTGATAAAACTTTGGTTTTCCTGGACATTTGATCTTGTTTTGTAGAAAATCTGCCGCCCATTTTAAAGATTAAAATATCCCACTCCAGCATTTTTATAAATATGAGAGGAGGTGAACAGATCAAGGGACAACCAAAAAATCAATCAAAGGCAAAAACTTAAAATGATCACTTGATCTCAAAAAGCCTTCAAACAAACTGAAGCAACCAAAAGCTCATTGAGCCACAAGAAAAAAGCCAGCTACAAATCAAAATCTCCAACTTCAGTTCAGACTTAGAGAAATAAGTCATTGAAAACAAGATTTCTCTCGTTACAAATTTAGTTCATCATAAGCCAAATCAAACAGAGTTCGGGTTTTTACAAATATGAAAACCTCAACAAATTTATGGAGAGCCTTGATCAAGCAGAACAGGTACCACAGTGCAGCTCCAGCTCAGTAATCAAGTCCAACCATTTCTGCCCCTCCCAATTTGAAGAGGTCCCAGTTTTGCCTGTTCAAGAAGCCTTCCAGGGCTTGAAATAGATTAAAGCTCTGCCAAACTCAAACGTTGGCATCGATTTGCAGTTGAAACATAACAGTTGAAATTGTTGATAGTTCAGTCCAGCACAAGCATATCCAGTCCAGCCAGGATCAGAAGCATCTATCCAGGCAGAAATGGAAGTCCAGCCATCTTTTTGTCTTTCTAGAGTTGGTTTTTCCCTTTTGAGTTTTGTAAAAGGGAGTTTCACCTGAAAGCAAAGTGAAAGCAGTTCACTTTCTTATCATTTATTTTGGCCAGAACTACCAATCTTGTACTGTGAAAAATTGTGAAGTCCTCACTAGTATGAGGCAAGAAAAAAACTTACTTGGGAGATATTCCTCACCCAAATTCACAATTGCTTATTTAGAAATCAGTAACTTGGGGCGCAAGTTATCTATTTTTAAGAAGTCTGCTAGGATTTTTCATTGCTAGCAGTGGCACACTCGCACACTAAAGAAAATTGACTTGTTGACCAGTCAATGGTTCTCAAGGAAATGAGGAACTTTACCCTACCATCAAAGGAGCAAACATAAAATGGGTGAATAGATAGTCATCAAGCTAATAATTGTCAAGATATACGTACTCAACAACACTATAATTTTTAACAAATAAAACCATGTAAAGAATACACACCAAGAACGAGATACAGTAGAGCATGCGCCATGACCTTGCCATTACAGGTCTGGAAAACATTGAATAAAAATTAGTTTCAATCTCCATCATCCACCCAAAAAAACTCAATTCTAACACAAATAGGCACTAGATCTAACATTAAAACCTTCAATGACCCATAACTTGCAGCCATATATGACAGAAAAACTGATGAAATTGATAAAATCTTACCTTTTCTAATGAATTTCAGTTTTGGAAAGGGATTTAGGTATCTAGGGTTAGGGTTTTATGTTGGGGATTTGGGAGTTTTGGTATAAGAGAAGCAGAATGAACCAGAGACGTAGCACTTGACGAGAGAGAGAGAGATATATATATATATATATATAGGTTTTGAGAGGGCTAGCCAAGAAGAAGAGGCAAAAGGGGGAAATTTTTAGAGGGCTAGCCAGCGAAGGAGAGAGCGAGATAGGGGGTAAAGAGCAGGTGAAGCTCGCCATCATCGTCCTTGTCAGTGGTTGCATGTTGCTGGATGCTAGAAGAAGATGAAGGAAGTGAAAAAGGGGGCTCAGTTTTTTACGGGTTAGGGATTTTCCTTCAACCTGCTGGGAAAGTTTTCAAGTTATCTCACCGTAGAATTTTCGTTTTCTTGTAACTTGCAAGACAACAGCTATCGGTTTCAATTTTCTTGAAAAACATAAGCTACAAATTGATGTGAAGCCCAATAGCAAGACAATTTTTCACTTCTTGTTTTACCCAATAGACCTCAACACATTTTATTTTCATTATGCTAATTTATTGTGTATCCTATTTATTGCCAGTCTCTCTTTTTTTTTATTTTTTTTAATGCATTTATTTATGATACTGGGAATAAACTGTCAACGTGCTCGAGCAGAATGGAAAAGAGCTTTCACTAGACCTGTTGTCTTATATTCAAACTTCATGACATCTTAGTAATAATGTGTGAGAAACTCTTTTCTTGATTCTAGTTTAGACTATCATTTGTATTTATAATATATATATATATATATACATGATATTGGGAATAAATTATTATAAAATTACAACTTGTTCACAAATGAACAAGTTGACAACTCATAGATATGCCGAAAATCTACTCACATATGAACTCTTATCTCCCTCTCCATGGAAACTCAAACATCCTCCTCTTCAAGGTTTCTAATTCTATCCCTTCTCACCATCACCTCATCCTATGAAGCTTCCACCGAGAAAACTATCAATCGCGTCTGCCCTCCTTCATCCTGTGGCAGCATCCGCAACATAAGCTACCCATTTCTACTCAACGGCGATCCAACCAACTGTGGCCTGTCGTTTTACACCCTCTCATGCGAAACCAACCTCACAATTTGAACTCTATACTCCCGAAAAAACATCGTCCGATCAATCAACTACAACCAGAGGCAGCCTTAGCCCAGGGCAACCAGGGCTACAGCCTGGTGCCCAAAGCTGGGAGGGGCACACAATTTTTTTTATAGCCCATATATGTGTATATTACAAAAAAAAAGAAACCAAACCTTCAAAACTAGAAGGAGCCATTCCAAATATGGTGGCATCTAAGCACAAATCACTTTTGGATACTCTCGAGGAAACTTCCTTACTTGGAAAACAAAGTCAAATCTTTATTATATATTATATAATATAACAAAAGAAAAATCAAGGAAATTAAACAAAGATAAACCAACATGCCTTTTTTTTTAATAAAAAAAATAAAAAAGCAAAAAGGCTCTCAAACACAACACAAGAAGACTCTCAAATGCAAGCAAATTTTTATTTTTATTTTTTGTGATTCTCTTCTTCTCCAACACCGAGTTGGAAAACAATCCTCCACAAGACCAGACCAGTGCCTTTCTTTCAAGATTTTTATTTATTTATCATATCTTTCAAGGTTCTTCCTTTTTTATAGATAGATATAGATGTATAAATTTTATACTTCTTTTTCTTTATTATTTGATTCAACAAAAAATTTGGCAAAGATTGTTGTTCTTTACAATTGGAAGTTTCAGGTTAAAGAAAAGATGCTCAAAATCCAAGTTTTATTGTTATTTGTTAATTAGTTTTTTATTATTGTGTTGTGTTTATTATAAAAATTAAAAAATGCTTCCTAATAAACAACTTTATGCAAATCTCAAAAGACAAAAAAGAAAAAGAAGAAGAAATTTTTCCAAGTGTAAGAGGATCTTTGAATAAATGTTTTGTTAAAAAGACCAATGGTTCACTTGAAAATTTACCAAATGCATCTTTGTAGTGCTTAATTTTGATAAAAATTGTAATTTTAGTGTTTAATTTGTCTAAGGGGTATACTTTCGAAATTTGCCCAGGGCCTTAGATGGCCCCTGCAAAAACGACTGCTCCTCGCTATTCTCTGTCACCTTCCAACTTCAGCTTCCAAGATCCGTGCAAATGGTCAAGTTCAAATTGCACACAAATATGCAGAAGTTCGAGCCCAATTATTTATTTGAAGTGTGAAAGAGTTCCAGCCAATTTGTCGCTGTATGTGGACGCAAGTCCTTGCATTGGTAGCAGGGGTTATTATCATGTGAAGGCGGGGAGAACTCTAACCACGTCATATTTGGAGGACGGGTGCCGAGTAGATCGGACGGCTATAACGACGTTGTATGAAAATGACCAAAACGGTTCTTATCGGCATATACACGAGGCGCTGGTGTTTGGGTTTTAGATTAATTGGCGCCCTGATTTGTATACGCGTTACTCCTGCAGAGGATGGAGCTATATACAGATGCGTGTGAATTTAATAGATGGGTCCAGTGGAATGGAGGATATTGAAAACTGTAAGACGCGGAATGAAAATAGCCAAATGCGTGTGGGGTTAGCATTACCTGTCCGTTGACTGACTTTCTTACATCAATAATACCAATTTGAGTGGAAGGTACAAAACTGATAGATATCTCCAGAACTTGTAAATCTATTCTCTGAACAACCTCTCTCTCTCTCTCTCTCTCTCTCTCTCTCTCTCTCTCTCTCCATCTATGGGAAGTGGAACAAGGCCCTTTACCTTGTCTTCATGGGTCTTAGTTGTAGCCTTTTTAGGTATTAACTTATTATCCAGTGAAATTTGTAGCGCTAAAGATAACTACAGGTGTGCTCCTTCTTCCTGCGGCATCATCCACAACATAAGCTACCCTTTTCGACTGAACCGTGACCCAAAGCACTGCGGGGACTCGAGGTATACGTTGCACTGCGACAACAACGTTACGGTATTGCACCTACATTCTGGAAAATACTTGGTGCTGGCCCTCAACTACGATGACAGAACGATCCGAGTCGTAGATCCTGGCCTTGAAAAGAACAATTGCTCCTCCATTCCTCGTTATCCTGTAGCCAACTCTAACTTCAGTATGGGGGATCTGTATGATTCGTCAAGTCAGCCTGTAACTTTTATCACGTGTGCAAATCCAGTCAGTTCATCTCTCTACGTAGTGACGGCTCCATGCATTAATAATCTGGGTAAGATAGGTTATGTCAAGGTTGGCAGTATAACGACGTCGGATTTGGAGGACGGGTGCAGTATAGAGTGGACGACTATGATGAGTAAATCCTTGTACAAGAAAAATTACCAGAACTTTTCTTACAGATACATACACAACGCTTTGATGTATGGCTTTGAGCTTAATTATCAAACCTTAGGTTCTGCCTTTGTTGAATGTAGCCCAAACCAATGGACCCCACTTGGTAATAAGTGTTATACAGGTACGTCTTTATTTTCAGTCATATATATGTGTATACATGTATATATATGAAAACTTCAATTGAGGGATTCTTAAATTAGGAATACTCTTATGGGCTCACACACTGTATTGTATTTCAAAAATTGGAACGGTCTATCTTTTAGATATGCCTTCAAAAATTACTTGAATTTGAAACTATTATACCACTCAATTAATGGTTGTCATTTTTCTTGAAGCACTATGTTCGTTTATAAGTGACACACTAAATTTTATCATTGTACATAAATGTGAATTTTCAAGTATTATATGTATATATTACGGTTGTTATGTGGCAAAGTTACAACTGTGCTAGTTTTGTTTTCTTTGTTATTGTAGGTAATTTTGTTTTGGATCTATTTCAGCAGATTTACGGTAAATGATCTTTCTTAAAGTGTTCTGTTTTTGTTTTTGTATTAAAAAAAAGGGTACAAAGTCTTTTGTTTTTGTTTTTGTTAACTTTTGTTGTATTTTTGCAGATTATGAGGTGCAACACTTTAGCTCAGGTAACAGCTTCTATTTCTTTAATTATTCAACACTGGATTTTTTTTATTTTAAAAAAAAACTTTATTCTTTTCCCAAACATATAATCAAAAGTCTTTGACTGATTTTGTCGACTTTTGTCTTATTGCTTGCAGGTGATCCATGGACAGGAATTGATCTACTAATAATCATTATCTACGGTAAGAGCGTGTTTTAGCAATTCAATTTCACTTCTTACACTCCTTTACCACTCACACATGAAGAGCCCAAGAGGTAATTTACGAGTAAGTATAGAATGCCAAAATCATCACCCTAAATTGATTACGAAAAAAGAAGATGATGAATTGCACAATAATTTACATAGCTATTTGATAGACATAAAGGATGTGATAAAGTGTAAAAAGAATGCATCAAAAAGCCAGTCAGTTTCTGTAATTTTCACATTTTTTTTTTTTTTTTTTTTTTTTTTTTTTTTTTTGTTCTTGTAATGCTCTTTTGTACTACATCTCGTGGTATACATTTATGCTGGCTCCATTTGGGATTGCGTTTTTGATCTATACATGGCGGAAAAGACATTCGTCAATGTATAGCACAATCGAAAATTTTCTGCATGGTGATAACAATTTTTTGCCGATAAGGTACTCTTACTCGGACATTAAAAAGATGTCTAACAAATTCAAGAATAAGTTAGGTGAAGGAGGCTTTGGCACGGTATTTAAAGGAAAATTACGCAGCGGCCGTTCTGGAGCAATTAAGATGTTGGGCAAGTCCAAAGCTAATGGGGAAGATTTCATTAGTGAGGTAGCTACCATTGGAAGGATTCACCATTTTAATGTGGTGCAACTTGTTGGTTATTGTGTTGAGGGCTCAAAGCGCGCTTTAGTATATGAGTTCATGCAAAATGGATCTCTTGATAAATACATTTATTCCAAAGAAGGGAGTAACTTGCTAAGTTACAAGAAAATGTATGATATTTCACTTGGAGTAGCTCGAGGAATTGAATATCTACACCAAGGTTGTGACATGCAAATTTTACATTTTGATATCAAGCCTCATAACATCCTTCTTGACGAAAATTTCGTTCCAAAGATTTCTGACTTTGGGCTTGCGAAATTATATCCTACGGATAATAGTATTGTCTCGTTAACGGCAGCAAGGGGAACAATGGGTTACATGGCTCCTGAGTTGTTCTACAAAAATATTGGTGGCGTCTCATACAAAGCTGATGTCTATAGCTTTGGAATGCTATTGATGGAAATGGGAAGCAGACGAAAGAATTTAAATGCACGTGCAGAGCATTCAAGCCAAATTTACTTCCCCTCATGGGTGTACGATCAGTATAAGGAGGGAAAGGAGTTGGAGATGGAGGATATAACAGAGGAAGAAAAGAAAATCATAAAAAAGATGGTTATAACTGCCCTGTGGTGTATTCAAATGAAGCCAAGTGATCGTCCGGCAATGAACGAAGTTATAAAGATGCTCGAAGGAGACGTTGAAAGCCTACAAATGCCTCCTAAGCCTTTTCTGTGCCCTCAAGAGATGCCTGTAGATATTCATGATAATTTGAACCATACATGTTCTAACATGGAGTTGACGTGTACTCTGTCACCTAGGTGACGATGAGGTAGCAACTTTTGCAATTTTATTCAAACACTCCAGTACTTGTGTAGCGTCTCTCTGCTTGTTTTCCGGGTTCTGATGTTGGCTTTTCATGTGGGTGTCTACAGTAGGGTTGGGCGACTAGATTAGTCTTCTTGGATGCCTAAATTAGTTTGGGTACTCTGTCTGGTTTCAGTTTCTGCATTTTAGCATGTTCTTATTTGTACGGAGCTTCTTTTTCATGGAGTTTCTCATTTATGGATAAATAAAAAACTCTTGCTGTGTTAATGTGTCAATAAAAAAAACCTTTGAAATCCCAAAATTGCCCGAGTAATCTCACAGTTTTAACTTTTAAAAACTACGAAATATAAGGGGCGGTGGAACAGTTACCCCGTACTCACGAGAATCAGGAGTCTTTGTTTGTCGGCACAGAATTCCGGCGATGGACAGTTGCGTCGGGAACGGTTGTCGCAATACGCTGGTCGCCCGATGAAATATCTATTCGTCGCCCCATCTATGTCTTTAACCCGATGAAATGTTTTGTCGTGTGAAACTTCCTGGCAGCACGTCGTCGCCTGAAAGCGGTGGGCACAGTAGCCCGCTGTTCGTTCATGATACTGGGGAGAGAAACTGTTTCGTCGCCTGGTATCATTTCGCCTACAGTAGCTAGTTTGTCGCCTTAAGTTTTGTCGCCATAGCTAAGTTTTCTTGTAGTGTTGCAATTCCAGCCGCATATTGTAGCTTCAACTAGAACTTTCTACTAGCTTCAATCAAGTAAGTGACTAGTGTTTAGGGAATACATCTACCGACTTCGCATTCTAAATTATCCTAGAAAATTCTGCTAGATTGTAGAAATATCCACCAAATATGCATTATTTTTCAACAGTAGGTCATCTCCTCCTTCTAGCAGATTATGGATAGGAAAACTCCAAAATTCCAAGTTTTTCTTCCCAATGAAAGTCTTGCATCAATGAGTACCCCACCACGTTGATTTTTGTATTTCTTTCTTTTCCAAATCATTGAGATTTAGCTATGTGGTGAGATTTCTTTTTTCTTCTTTTCCAATTGTTGAAATTTCAATGCATGCTCCTAAAACTTGAAATTCCAAAATTTCAATGCATGAAATTTCAAAGGAAAACTACAAAATTCCAAGTAGTTGAAATTATGTTGTCCCAATTTTTATACCTCATTCTCCAAAGAACTTGAAAGAGAGCATTAACGAGTAAACAAAATTCCAAAGTTTTGGAAAGCAATTGATATGATATCTTTTTTCTTTGACAACGGACACCAATTTGTATACCAATTGATTTACAAAGGATAGGATTCCCAAATTTTCAACAATAAAAAAATATAACTTATGTCCCTTGAATGAAGTCTCTAATACCCAACTCCGTCAATTTAGGCTAGAATTATTACATGTTCATAAAGTTCAAGCACATATGTAGTTAATATCTTGCTGGGATGCTTGCATGTGTTGTTGTAGGACCTCCAGAGGCAAAAGGATTAGGAGGCATGGTCAAGTTATCTACTCCTTCTAACATATGAACAGCTGTTTTCATAGACGGACGATCCACTGGGTGCCACTGGATGCACCGGAGCCCTACAATTGCAAGTTTCTTTGGAATTTTACCATCTCCGTCGTCCCCAATATGGATTCGTAGGTCATCTCCTCCTTCTAGAAGATTATAGATCCATTCTGGGTAGTAAATTTCATTTGTGTTATTTGTGGTTGTACCAATACTCTTCCTTCCTCCTACCATCTCTAACAGCAACATTCCAAAACTATAGACATCCGACTTGTAAGATACATTTCCGAAATTCCTAGAGAACACTTCAGGTGCAATATAGCCCATGGTGCCTCTAGCTGTAGTCATTGACACTATACTTTGATCCTTGGAACATAATTTGGCCAAACCAAAATCAGAAATTTTTGGAGTGAAGTTGTGGTCTAGCAAAACATTATGGGGTTTGATATCAAAATGGAGGATTCTTTGATCACATCCCTGGTGAAGATATTCAATTCCTTTGGCTATGCCTACAGCAATATCATGCAACTTTTCCCAACCAAGGAAATTGTTCTTACTGTCCGCTGATGAAATGAAATCCTGCAGCGAACCATTGGGGAAGAACTCATAAACAAGAGCCCGTCTAAATCCATCAGCACAAAAGCCAACCAAACGAACTACGTTGACGTGGTGAATGTGGCCCATCGTTCCTACTTCATTTACAAACTCTTCCCCATTTCCCGTAGAATTGTTAAGTACTTTCACAGCAACAAAGAATTCAGAAGAAAGCTTTCCTTTATAAACAGTTCCATATGCTCCTTGGCCCAACTTATCCTTGAATTCATTCGTGATCCTCTTAATATCTGCATAGGAATATCTGCTTGGCTTGAGAGATTTGTAATCCTCTAAAAACCTTTCTATTTTTAATCGATTCTCTTTTTCCTTTCGATCAGCGCTATAGACACGATATAGTGCAATGACCAGTACTAAAAGAATGGATGAACCCAGGATTGCACCTGAAAATAAATACAATCCTTGAGCAAACGCATATCTTCCATCGTCCTCTAGACATGAAACAAAGCAAACGAAAAATAACAGTTTTAATTAACTCACCTGTTGCCACAAATTTCGTTGTTTGGCCTGTAAAACAGAATTGAAAAATCAGATTGTCACGTTGGTAGCAGATTATACTCATCATCATGTATGCATATATGATTTACTTTGAAAACTGTAAAAACTTGAGCGGAATTTATGTGAAACAAAGATTTATATCATCCTTACTTGCTTTGCTGACGTGAACACATTCAACTTCACTTTTGATGCCATTGTTGTTCAATCTGCACCTCTTTCCCTCTGCTTCACATTCTGTACAATTTGGTTCAGACCATTTGAAACTAGGAATAGAGGTGTCATCTCCCATCCAAGTCCCAGATGGAACTGACAAAACATCATACATCCGTGTACATGACTGTAGGTTTGGTAAGTAGTCAAACAAATCAGCCCCAGAAGAAACGCCATAAACTTCGTAGCCAGGGCCGCTGCCAAGGCAGGGGACTTGAAATGTATAAATGTCTCTTCCAAAAGGAGTAGGACAATGGAATAAGGTAACATTACGTATTTCGGTGTCTAATAAGTTAAAGGGGGAGATTGGAATGTAAGGGGTTTCTAAGGCAGCCATCTTGGCTATATATTAGCCCACGCTTGTAATCTATGCTTTTGACAAAGAATTTTACTAGCGCTACTTGCTGCTCAAGAACAGCCTCCTGTCTACCATTATTGCATCCAAGCCCAGAATCGCCACAATGATTTCCAAGGAGGAATGGGAAATGGATAGCCAGGCCATGATCATTACTGCACTTTGATTCTGTACACCAATTTTGGCTTGCTCCAACCGCCGTGAAGAAAACACATAACAATATGCAAAAGGAAGACATGAACAATTGCTGCATTTCTGAGCTAATAATGCATGTGGATTTTTTCCCTAAGCACATAATTTGGAAAACTAAGTCAAGAATGATAAAGGTTTTCAGTAAATAAATACACAAACCATTGACTGAAAGAAACTCCTAATCAGCAACTAAAGTCAAAAAAATAAGGCTGAAATGGCACTATTAAATCATCAATTGCCCTATAACGACCCATTCAATTCTTCTGGATGTGCTCGTACAGCTTACACGCAATTACCATCTCATATGAAATTGCTCCTCCATGCCTCGAAATTTTCTTCCCGGGTTAAGATTTCCCTATTCTATAGTCAATACAAGGGGTTCACCGCTTTCAACGCCTATATTTTACATCATGTGTTCAAATCCAGTGAATTCTTCTCTGTACGTGGAAACTGCTCCATGCTTGAACACAAGTGCTACTTCTTTGGTCCAACAAAAGACGTATAGTTATGTGAAGGCTGGGGCTATGGTAGTGGGGGATTTGAACAGGGGTTGCAGTGTAGAGTACGCTTCGGCGCTCTTGAACTACTCTAAGGACTACATGCCCTCTTATAAATCCATACACAGTGCACTCATGTATGGCTTCGGGCTTAGAGTATATTGGCCTTACGAAAAGTGCCCAGGCCAATGGACTTCTAATTCTAAATGTTTTCCACGCACCATCCTAGGTACGTGAATTCTTGGCCATGGCTTGTAAATGTTGCACTTTTACTTTGTGAATACATAGAAGGAAGTTAGGGGCACTCAAACTCCGGTAACGTTCTCTTGCCAGACTTGTAATTGTCAGAAAAATACATGTGTTTTCAATCTTTGGATCTCGACTAAACATTCAAACAAAGAATACATATGATAAATGATTCAGATTCACACATTGACAATATATCCGATAGTGTGGGACTATCTGGCAAGAGAGAATGTTACCCTTTAAACTCCAGTCCAAAAATGTACTTGATATTTGTAGTTTGCTAGTTTAGGATGATGAACTTGTATATAAACCCCAATTAATGAATGAAATAGACAAGCAAAACTCAAAGTATTTACTTAACTTCTTCCTTTTGTTTCTCTAATTATCTTAAAATTCATCTCGTTCCCTTATTCCTATAAAACTAGGAATTCATAATTTTATTGACTAGAAATTTTGGATTAGACTTAGGCACCCTTTTGGTGACTTGTTTGTTCCCCAAGTTGTGCAAATCATTTAGAGCAGAAGAATAGCCCCATACGCTTGGGTCTACCCCGACCCCTGTCAGACTTTGGCCCGGTCAAAGTCCTTAGTTGACCACCTGATTAAGACTGGTCCTCAACACAATCAATCTATCAAATAGAAACGATGTCCTTAGTAAAGTTGTTTCCAAACGATGTCCTTAGATGCCATGTCAAAGAAAAACGTAGCTAGCTTCATGGTTAGACAGACGAATGGGCTGGATCTGTTTGTGAATCTCGGGTGGCCTATGTTCTGAGTGATTTTTGGCTTGGTTTGCTGAGCTATGGGTGTTTGGGTCTTCATGGTGGTGACTGGCGATGTGTCCATCTACAATCGAGGAGTTTCTCTTTGCTGGTGGTGGCGGCTTGGAGTTTCTCTTTGATTGTGGCGGCTAGGTTTTATGTGTTTCATTTTATGTATTCTATGTTTAATGTGGGCTTTTTGCTAAATGTGGGTGTAATACCTCTTTGTGGGCTATATGCCTTTATATGGGCTAAATTCCTTGTTGTTGGCTTTTGACGTTTTAGGTTCGGCTCAGGAACATGATCTTTATGCTATGTTGTATTGGTTTTAGTTAGATTTGTTCCTGTTTGTTTTCTAGTTTTCTGACCGATACTTTTGCTTGGCTTTGATTGTACTGTTCTCTACCCCTTTGAGGGTTTGCAATGAATTGCAATTTCGACCAAAAAAAAAAAAAAAAAAAAAAAAAAAAAGAATAGGGACAAATGGGGAAATGTACCAATGTGAGAACTTAAAAGGTTAAATTTTTGTTAGTTTTTAAACGACATGGGTCAAACTGTTACAAATCTCAAACCACGAGAGTGAAAAATGTAATTGACTTTAAACTTTAGTTACTTTGTGTGCTAATGTTATCTTCTTCTTTTCACTGTAGGTTTAATTCGATTTCGATGGGAGGTTACTAAAGGTAAGCTAGCAAGTGCTCTCTCTCTCTCTCTCTCTCTCTCTCTCTCAGATTACAACTTTTGAGTACACGACAAGAGATCACGATTCCACCAAACATGTGTTATAAATTCTTCTTCATCTTCTATATATATATGTAAAGCGAAAAGTATAAAATGGTAAAACATTTAAAATACTAAAAAATGCACTTAGTTAAAGAAAATATTAAGAAATAAACATATTTAGTAAATCCATATTTATGGAAGATAGCTGTCCATTTTATCTTTTTTAATTCTAACATAAATTAAATTAAAATAAAAAGAAAACCAATTTTCCAAGGGGCTAGTTAGATTTAAATCAATGCGCCAAGGGGCTAGTTTGTGGCTGGAATAGTGGTATGTATCAAAACTTGGTTTCAAATTGTAACGACTCCATATGCTAATGTTGTTTTTTTTTTCCCCTTACTTTTGTCACTGTAGTTTTCTTTTCTCGTGGAGACGTGTATGTTGGTAAGGACTTTCTCTTAATTTTTCTTTCCCCAACCCCCACCCCACTCTTTTTTTTTGTCAATTACACGACAATTGTAGTGAGTGGAGAGAAATGAACTTGTGACAGAAAATATGTCAATTCAAACTTAGTCCAAGTCTTCGTTTTTGCTTACATTTGTTGTTGTATTTCTTGCAGCTAGACATCCATGCTTTGCCTTCCAATCCATCCGTAAGATCTTGAAATTCATGCAATATAATCAGTTCTTCGATTTTGTTCCCTTTCAAAAAAATTGTAGTAAAGTCTTTGATTTTGTTCGCACTTTTTCTATGTTTCTTGCAGGGCATAGATGGGGGCCACTCATTTGCTTGGGTAAGGGCTTGTGTAATCCCTTGAATGACATCAAAATCAAAGAATACATATATAGATTCCAAACAAAAGGAAGATAATGTCTCGCAAACAAGAAGAAAAAGCATTAGTTGATCTAAATGTTCTTTTCTCATTGTTCTTTTGGTGATACATCTCTTGTACAGGTTCATTTTTTGCAGCAAGACTCATTTTTGGGGTTCCATGTATGATTGCGTTCGTAATCTATAAATGGCGAAGACGACATTTGTCAATGTGTAGCGTCATAGAAGATTTTCTACAAAGTGATAGCAACTTCTTGCCAATAAGGTACTCTTACTCAGAAATTAAGAAGATGACTAATAAATTTAAGGACAAGCTGGGTGAAGGCGGCTATGGCTCTGTATTTAAAGGAAAGTTACGCAGCGGCCATTTTGTGGCAATTAAAGTCCTGGGCAAGCCCAAAGGTAATGGGCAAGATTTCACAAGTGAGGTAGCTACCATTGGAAGGATTCATCATGTTAATGTGGTGCAACTTATTGGTTATTGTGTTGAGGGATCAAATCGTGCTCTAGTATATGACTTCATGCCTAATAGCTCTCTTGATAAATATATTTATTCCAAAGAAAAAAGCATGCCCTTAAGTTGCAAGAAAATGTACGGGATTTCTCTCGGAGTGGCTCAAGGGATTGAATATCTGCATCAAGGTTGTGAAATGCAAATTCTACATTTTGATATCAAGCCTCATAATATTCTTCTTGATGAGAACTTTAACCCAAAGATTTCTGACTTCGGGCTTGCGAAATTATATTCCGTAGATGATAGCATTGTCTCTTTGACAGCAGCAAGGGGAACAATGGGCTATATTGCTCCTGAGTTGTTCTACAAAAATATTGGAGGTGTTTCGTACAAAGCTGATGTCTATAGTTTTGGAATGTTGCTCATGGAAATGGCTAGCAGAAGGAAGAATTTCAATTCAATGGTAGAGCATTCAAGCCAAACTTACTTCCCGTTATGGGTGTACGACCAATATAACAAGGGAAATGACTTGGAGATGGGAGATTTTAATGAGGAAAAGAAAATCATAAAAAAGATGGTTATAACTGCATTGTGGTGTATTCAAATGAAGCCAAGTGATCGGCCTTCCATGAACAAAGTCATAGAAATGCTAGGAGGAGATGTTGAATGCCTAAAGATGCCTATCAAACCTTTTCTGTATCCACAGGAGATGCACGCAGGTGATGTTCAAGAAAATTTGAACTCAATAGGTTCCAACGGGGAGTTAACATGGACTTTGTCAGCTAGGTGATCTTCAAATTGTTAGAAAATGCATCATTTTTTTTTTTTTTTTTTTTTTTCCTATTGAGAGGGGCGATAGATGATACAAAGTTCAAAGAAACTCTCATCTTTAAAATCAAGAGGAATTAAATTTTTTATGTATTTATGAGATACTAAGGCATTTTTATATTCCAAATAACTCGGATAATTGCAAACCCTTATAAATAAAGAAACTCTTAAAATTCAACTCCATCAAAGAATTCTTTGCCTTTCCTCAAAAAAATAAAAACTAACTCTTTCCAAATAGCACTATGACCGCACTAAATATGTACCCAATGTTAGTCATTTTGCTTTTGGCTAGCCCATCAAGAATGATTTTCACAACTTTCTCAATTCCAACTTTCGAGATATCTAATTTGAAAATCTTGGGGAATGGAAAAAACATATCGCCATTATCTGTGCTCGGGAAGTTGGTGGAAGTATTTTTGAAGGTGGGACCATAAAGATGGTTGTTGCCAAAAGCTTGTGTCTGTAGGCAAAAAATTGTCATGCTTTATTCTTCAACTTTGCTCTTGCGTCTCCCGCACCTTATTTCTCAATTCCCACACCAAAGGCATTAAATTTGGAGACCTTGGTTGAGTGCAAACATATCTCCATTAATTGTGGTTGGAAAGTTGGCGGAAGTATTTTGAAGGTGGAATGGTAAAAGGTGATTGTTGCGATGATCTTTTGTTTGAAGGAAAAAATATGTTGTGATATATTCTTCAATGCGGCTCTTTTGTTCAATCTCGATGTCAACAACCCTACAGCTTTAGCAAAGAGTACACAAGTTTGAAACTGATGTGTTGAAATGACCATTTCACCTACATCTTCTATTTTAGAACTAGATAACTAAATTAATCAGAAATTATTCATGAGATATTTGCTATGTCAAAGTAACATTTTTATTGATGATATATGTAAATAAAAAAAAAAAAAAAAAAAAAAAAAAAAAAAAAAAAAGTCACCATGTTGTGTTCATTACGAGTTTCTACGATTTTTGTTGGTGTAGTGGTTTGTGAGTGAGCCTTCCCCCTTTGAGGGTCAAGGTTCGAGTCCATTCAATTACACAAAATGGTGAATAAATGGCAACGGAGTTGGTCCCCTGCAAACAGTGGCAGGCTGGCGACGGACAGTGGCGACCAGTGGTGATGGTGGCAAGTGGCCGGTGGTGGCAAGCCGGCTACGGGCAGTGGCGGTCGGTGGCGGTGGCAGGTGGCCGGCGACGGGGGGCCAGTGTGGTGGTGGCAGGTGGTCGACGGTTGGCTAGATATGGACATGTGGCATAGTATGCTTGCTTTAGAAGGAGTGGCATTGTGTGTAATTTTGATTTTGGCCTTATGCTAATTAGATGAAATTGTACTTCTGTCTTCCAAATTAGTAAACTATATTGTGTTTCAAAACTAAAGCTGCCTTGGATCAATCAGGGAGATTTCATGAAAATGAAATCCCTAATTTATGGTAATATCCCTATCTCTAGTCCAAACAATTGGCTAATTAAGTGGAGCACAATTATTGACCTAAGGAATATTCCCATTGTCCACATGGCGCCTCATAATTGGTTGCCGATATATTTGTTCCCACAACTATTTTAATAAAAGCCATAATAAATAGTGTCATTAAAATAACCCAATTGAAGACTTGATCTTTGTGGGGGTCTTTTTGTTCCAGCAACCTGACAAATGGGCTTGGGCTGCCGAAAAGAGAAACATGTGAAATTACCCCTTGAGCCTGAGTTCAAGAATCAGGCCCTAAGAATGCTTCGAAAGGGTAATGAAGCCTTAGAAAGCATCCTGGTTATCTTCACCAACAAAAACAACGGTTGTTTACAGGTAGATTCTTAGCTTGGCATGAGAGGCTTGTGGCATGGGAGCAAAACCATCATGAGTTTAGCATAAATAGAGAGAGGGCTGTGAATTCCTATGGGAAACAGGGGTTTTAAAGGGGGGAATGAATTCTAAGGGGTTTTGTTGAAGAGGGAGAGAGATGGAGGTATAATGGGTGTGTTGAGTAGTTTCCGGCAGCTTGATGAAAAATCTGTCAAACTTTGGAGTTTTTTAACATAAGAGAAAAATGGGAGGAGATGGATGAATAGAGCTCAAAATTGCAGAGGCTTCAGGGATGATAGATAAAGCTTGCTCCCCAGATGTGTGTTGCTTAGGATAAAGAAGAGGGAGATAGAAGGTGAGGCACTTGGGCTTGATGTTAGCAATTAGAGAATAAGCTTGCTCGACTACTCTGGTTGAGTTTAATGGGTAGGAGATACCTCTTTTTATAGCCGTTAGAAGCTCCTCCTTCCCAAGAAACCCTAATGGGTTCTCTCCAATTTTGCGTTGGGTTTGTCTTTGGCCATGTGCTGGAGTCTCCCAGCTTCCTAAGCATAAAAACATCTCCTAGTTTTCTATCGTGGTTTCATTTCAAACCATGTACTGGAGATTTTTTGGATATTTTCTAAGCCACTTGGGCTATTTGGGCCATCCTAAGGTGATGGGTTAGCCTATTAAGAGAATGAGCTAATTTTCTAAAGTTATGGGCTATCTTATTAAGGTGATGGGCCAATTTTTCTAGAGTATTGGGCTAATTCTTCTATCTTTTATGCTTACTCACATATTTGGGCTCAAGAAATGGGCTTGAGTTTTGGGGCTCCCAAGCAGCCCAAAACTTCCATTTCTCGGCTCATCAATAGGCCTCATGAAAGCTCATTACCATCCATACCACAACACACTTAAGCAAGCCCCGGAAATTTGCGTAGATTGGGCCCACTTAAACTTGTAGTGTGGCTAGGTGTAATAATAATGATTTTCCGCTTGGCATTGCATGTCGCTTGGCGTGCTTGAATTTTGTCGCTTTGAAGAAGGATATGACGCATGGCGGGATAATTAGCTTGGGCTCGTAAAGCCAGTGCTTATTTCAACTCTTAGCATGACAGATTGTATATTTATTTGGCATGACACGTAGGTCATGACTTGTGCGAGCGTGAATAACGAACTTCTGCGTGCTCCAAATCGAGTCTTTCTTAATAAGGCATTGTGTTGGGCCGAGAATTTATTTGGGCCCAACCCTAGATTTGTGGGCCTCAACATTAGCCCCCATAAGTATTAGGGTCATGGATAAGTGCTGGAATGGGCCGAATAATTAAACCTGACCCAAAAATCAATTTCATAAGCTCCTTTGTGGTTTCCTAGATACCCACATCCTCCTTTTTCTTTTATATTTATTATTTCTTTCTTCTTCTCCTTCCTCCTTACGCACACCAGAGTAACCCTTTCCCCATCACCTTCATCTTCTTTTTCCTTTTCTTCCTCCAATGAACTCAGAGCGAGAGAGAGAGAGAGATCAAGAAGAACCGCCTGTCTACAGCCATTGGAAGGGAGCTCAAGCCAAACTCGACTCCTTTTTTCCTCGCATGAAGAAACCCACTTGCTATTATTGGATGAGATTGTTTATGTGCATACTTTTCTTACAAAATTCCCAATTCCTTCTTTCTTGGTGCATCTGAGGCTATCCTTTGAGGGTATTAACAAGGTATGCCCTGTTTCCTTGCAATTTCTTGAATCTATTGAGGGGTTTGTTGGGTTCTTCATGCCCATGGGTTTTGCTCTTTGTTTTGGTAGTCAAGCACCCACTCCTTTTAACCCATTCATCTTTTGTTGGAGTAATCGTTAGCAAGGAAGGGTTTGCATCAGTTTTTGGGGTTAACCCCTTTTTGATTTCTTTCTTTTTGGCAGGCTGTTGGAAGAGTGCAAACTTTGTGAGAAGAAATCGTTGGTATGGATTACATCCTTTTCTTTTCCCCAATTTTCTTCCCCCTTTTTATCATGTGTTGGCCCTTTTCTGAGCTGGTGACACTATTGAATTTTGCATGATGTGCTTTTTCTATGTAGGTGCATACGTCTCTGGCACAGGAAGGGGAAGGTGCCGGAAGCCTGCGTCGTATTCCCTGTTGATGGAAGCTTCGAGTGTACTGATTTCACAACTTGGCAATTTAGATTTCTATCTTGATTTCTTAGTAAATAGTTATGCTCCTTTACTGGAATCGTGAGTCTTTCTTTTGGCTTTGTAGGAATAGACATAGACTGGTGTTTGGCCTAGGCTCATTCTTCCTGTGAACACTTGCTTGATCAGCTTTGGGCTTTCTCTTATGTCGTGGGAAAAGGACTGTTAAGAAACTAACAGAATGCAGGTTTTGTAATGCTTGAATTTTGTATTATTGGGAGAGAATTTTGCTTGCCATGGGAATTTCTTGTCGATCATAGAACAAGAATTTTGCTTGCCATGGGTAAATTGCATGCTGCTTGGACATTTGCTTAAGCGTTCCCTTTGGCGTGAGCTTGACTTTCCATGCTTGGTGTATATTTTAAGTGTGGTGCATTCTTGACCTTTTTTTTTATTTTTTGGTTGAACTATATGCATCATGAGCATATGCTTGTAATCGCATGATTAATATATAGGATTAGAGGTTGTTGAAAGCTTGAGGAAAGCACCATTGGTTTTCTTTTTCAAAGCTTGGACATTGATAACTATTTATTTTTTTGGCTTTATGGGGATAGATATGAACATGTGTACGACGGGTCTGTAAGAATGCCGTGTGACTCGTAAGGATTTTGTTTTTTGTTTTTTTTAATGTGAAAAAGGTTAATAGGAGGTAAATAGTGTTTAGTTTGTAACACTTGCTTTGTGAAAAAGGTCTGCTGGAATGATTGATTGAGCATGGAATGGGAACTTTGCTTGTCATGAGCTCGAGTAATAGATTGCATGATCTTTTGAAATATTGTTGTTTATGCATTTCGCTTGGCATGAGATAGCTTGCTTTGCTTGGCATGTGAAGTTTATATTGCTTGCATGCTAGTGTGGAGATTGCTTGGATTTAACATAGAGAACTTACTTTGTACTTTGCCCTTTTGCAGCATATTCTTTGTTGGCAATTCTTGGAGAGATTCAAGCACTAAGTCATAATGACCTCTGTGATGAGTGATGGCCTATTTCCCCTTGCACAATGGATTGAACAAGGGACGAATACCTTCATAGCTTAGAAACACTTGCTAAGAATTGATCACAGGTACTGAGTAAGCTTTGGAAGCTACTCTCATTTCTAGGTGCTGTATAGATTCCGGCGGCTTCTTGATTTTTTTCAATACCCCTGCGGCATCACAAAGGGAGTAGTGTGCTGAAAGGGTTTGAGCAAGTGTTTTATTAGGGCAAGTGTTTTATTAGGACCTTGCATGGACTTCCCGCTTAATACTTAGAAGAAGTTATATGACACATTGTTTTTAGAGCATGAGTTTCTTGTAGCATAAAGATGCATGTCCAATCCCCTTAAACAAGAGTTGTCGTTAATGCGTTGAGCCTTAAGGAACATGAATTGGAGAGCCAGTGCCATAAGCTACGAGACCTTTTCCTTGACAAATGAGAGACTGGTAATGGCGCTTGGTGCGTGGTGGAAATATTGAAAGGATCATCTCTCCGCACTTCTTCTGTTCTTCCAGCACCATCCTTCTATAACACATGTCCTTACTTCGCCTTTTAGGTCGCATTTCTTTGTTGTGAGGGGCTGGCTGGCTGGCTGGCTGGGTGATTTCATTTTAGGCTAATTATATAGTAATTACACGTCGGTTAGTAATAAATCTGGACGTTGAATGCCTTAATAGCGTTGGGTATTAACCGTCGTTGTTTTTTTGTACAAAAGATGACGGTCGATTTCACGATAGTTGGAAAACCTTCTACACGACGGTAGTGTTTCCCGTCGTCTATTTTGATTTTTGTAGTAGTGTAGGTGAAGGAGGCTTTAGCATGGTATTTAAAGGAAAATTACGAAGTGGTCGTTTTGGAGCAATTAAGATGTTGGGCAAGTCCAAAGCTAATGGGGAAGATTTCATTAGTGAGGTAGCTACCATTGGAAGGATTCACCATCTTAATGTGGTGCAACTTGTTGGTTATTGTGTTGAGGGTTCGAAGCGCACTTTAGTATATGAGTTCATGCAAAATGGATCTCTTGATAAATACATTTATTCCAAAGAAGGGAGTAACTTGCTAAGTTACAAGAAAATGTATGATATTTCGCTTATTAAGTGACATGCAAATTTTACATTTTGATATCAAGCCTCATAACATCCTTCTGGACAAAATTTTCTTTCCAAAGATTTCTGATTTTGGGCCTGCGAAATTCTATCCGACGGATAATAGTATTGTCTCGTTAATGGCAGCAAGGGGGACAATGGGTTACATGGCTCCTGAGTTGTTCTACAAAAATATTGGTGGCGTCTCATACAAAGCTGATGTCTATAGCTTTGGAATGCTGTTGATGGAAATGGGAAGCAAACGGAAGAATTTAAATGCAAGTGCAGAGCATTCAAGCCAAATTTACTTCCCCTCATGGGTGTACGATCAGTATAAGGAGGGAAAGGAGTTGGAGAAGGAGGATATAACAGAGGAAGAAATGAAAATTGTAAAAAGATGGATATAACTGCCTTGTGGTGTATTCAAACGAAGCCAAGTGATAGTCCGGCAATGAACGAAGTTATAAAGATGCTCGAAGATGTTGAAAGCCTACAAATGCCTCCCAAGCCTTTTCAGTGATGCCTGTAGATATTCATGATAATTTGAACCAAACATTTTCTAACATGGAGGTGACATGTACTCTGTCACCTAGGTGATGATGAGGTAGCAACTTTTGTAATTTTATTCAAACACTCCAGCACTTGTGTAGCGTCTCTCTACTTGTTTTCTGAGTAGGGTTCGGCTCCTAGATTACTTCTTTGGGTGCCTAAATTAGTTTGGGTACTCTGTCTTGTTTCAGTTTCTGCATTTTAGCATGTTCTTACGGTTTCTCATTTATGGATAAATAAAAAACTCTGGCTGTGTTCATGTATCAATATAAAAAAACCTTTGAAATCCCAAAATTGCCTGAGTAATCTCACAGTTTCAACCCCATACTTACGAGAATCAGGAGTCTTTGTCTCCAGTTTCGTGAGGTTTCCTGGAGGTGGATTCCCAGGAGGGTAAACATTGTAGCTGGTGGGTGGGCAGCTCGAGGAAAAAGGAGGATGTCTAAAGAGGTCTGGATTGATAGACCACCATCCTCCTTGGTTTTTGTCTTAAACAATGATGGCTTCCCATGTCCTCCTCGAAATTAATGTGTGGGGGGATAAGGGTGCGACGTGAATGGCATGCAGTGCAACGTCTGTTTGGCCTTTCTCCTTGTAGTTCTGGTTCTTTGTGTTTTAGCTTTACTGTTTGGGTTGCGAGTGTTTGTGCTCATGTGGTTTTTCGGGAAGCTGTGTTTTGTTGTACTGTTTGTTCTCTTCTTAATGAAAGCTCACTTTGATTTTAAAAAAAAATCTAACTGTATATGTTGTTTGACAATTACTGTAGAAAATTCTAATATACATATACATTTTGCTCTAAGTCAGCAAATGCTTCAAACTCTAGGGGGTCGTTTGGTACGGGGGACTATCATGGACTGGATTAAGTATTGGTACTGTCTTGGATTGGCTTGGTCTGGCATAAGCTGGATAACACTTGTACAGCGTTTGGTGTATGTTTGATTGGATTAGGACTATTTTTTATTTTTTTTTAAGTAAGATTTTTTTATATTTTTTTTACTTTTCTTCTCTCTCCATCTCTTTCTTCCTCTTTGCATCTCGTTTTTTCATTTTTGGACAACCCTTTCTGCATCTCTTTCTTCTTCCCCTCTACATCTCTTTTATCCTCTTCTTTTGTCTACTTTTCTTTTCTTTTCTTCTATTTTCAAAAAATTTCTCCCATCTTCTCTGTTTTTTTCTAAAATTTTCTTTCCTCTTCTCCTCCATTATCCTTATTCTTCTCTATTTTTTTCGAAAAATTTCTCTCATCTCTTCTTCTCCATTTTCTCTCCTTTTCTCTATTATGTTTTTAGAAAATTTTCTGTTCTCTCCTCTTCCTCTTCTATTCAAAATTTTCTGTTCTCTCCTCTTCCTTTTCTATTCTGTCATCTCCTTCTTGGGTGGCTATGGTTGTTGGCTGTGACTGGTGGTCGTGGCTGGTGGTCGTATTTGGTGGTTGGGGATGGTGGTTGTAGCTGCTGCTTGGTGGGTCGTTGGTTGTGGGGCGATTGGGTGTGGTTGCTAGTTGCTTGGGTCGTCGGGATTGGTAGTCCCTCCTCTCCAGAAGGGTTTAGCTAAGAACACCTAAGGAGGTGTTTTTGGTGGGCCCAGTATTAGCTAATCCCACTTAAAATTAGAACATGGTGAAACAAACATGGGATAAAACTTTAGCCAAGCCAGTCCAAGCTTGCACGGTGTAACAAACACGCCCTAGGCGTCTTCTATGGATGCTTGCATGTGTTGTTGTAAGACCTGTAGAGACAAAGACCTTATTTGGTGGGCTGGACTGGACTAGTTAGGATTGGACTTTGAGTGTTGGACTGGCTTGGCTTGGATTGGGTTGGACTTTAATAAGTTGTTTGGCACATTAAGTTGGATTAGGCTGCACTGGACTAAAGTCTAGTCCATTGTTTGGTACAAGTATGGACTGGACAACATTGGACTTCAAAAAAAATTATTTTTAAAAATTATTTTAATGTTTATTAAAATTATTTAATATCAGAAATAATTAAATTTAATTAAAAAAACTTGTACACAAAATTAAAAATAAGAAATCACATGAAGAAACCATAAAAATAGTCCAAAAATTCACAAAATTAATAATAACACCAAAATTCTTTTAAGTACATTCAAATGATCAACAAATACTTATGTTATGTTGCTCTATTTGCCATCCACTCATTAAACATCTTAGTAGCCAAATTATCCCTCCATGTAGACCATTGGTCGGATGCAGCAATGGTATCAATAGTGGCATGATCTACATTGTTCTCAATCTTCCTCTTTCTCTTTCGATCCATGTCTACCCTGCCATTAACAATATTGGCAAGAACAAAATCATAATCTGTGACTTTCTTTTTTATACTCAAACATAGGGAGATTAGGTAAGCATGTTCTTACTAGGCAATGTAAGTTCAAGGCAAGAGGAACAGGCCTAATAGAAATAAGTTCATCAGCACCAACAGTTTCAGACATATGCTTGTCTAGAAAAATATTGCATTAATCACACAGATATCAGCTGAACTAAAGCAACCTTAGAAGCAGATAAGAAGTCTAGATCATGTTAGATTAGAGAAGGTAGTTACAAGTTTAACAAAAGAAAACGATCAAATTCAGAAGGTGACTAAAACAAGAAAGATTGAGTAAGAGAAAATTAAAACATAAGAAATATGAGTGGGACAGTCGTATGACTCGTAAGGTAGGAGAAATAAAAACCAGCACAGAGAGAGAGAGAGAGAGAGAGAGAGAGAGAGAGAGAGAGAGAGAGAACAGAGAGAGAGAAAAAAAAATCTAGTTTACAATTTACGGCATTGACAAGGCATTGCCCTCTCTTGGCATGGCCTTATCATACAAAAACCAAACACACAAACACTTTGTATCTGCAGCACATGCATGAATTCCAGCCACAAGCACTATTGTTTTTTTTAACAGATTTTCAATTTTTCTTTTAAAGACAGTACAATTGGAAATAAGCACTATTGCTCATCAAATGTCTTAACAAAGACTAGATTTGTCATTGCCTGACATGAGCAGCCTGTGTTCATACACTTATTTCAGTAATGCAACATTAACAAAGATGAGATCAACTTAGAAAGCCAATGCTCTAGTTAACTGAATGTCACCATAGTTTTCCAAGCAGTGAAAGTTTTTGGCATGCAGGCAGGATCAATAAAGGGTTATAGTCAAAGATTTGTCTAGAAAACTAATACAGATGTCTATAAGAATAAGCCTGCAATTACTATGTTCATGCCAAGGTGCAATATTTGCATTCAGATTCTTCCAATCCAGGTAAACAAGACAAGTTCAGAATTCCATTAAGCTTCACACACAGGCTAGTAGGTTAGCACATATAAGGCTAAACACGTCTCATAAATCAAGCTAACAAATCAATTTGAGCATAAGGCTAAACACACAATAACCTAACCTGAATGTTACATTGAAGCATGTAATAAAGAGCAAATAATAAAAGAAATGCCATTCTGTTCTTTATAGCTTTACTAACAGGAACTTCAAATAAAACCTGCTAATCCTATCTTTCTTTACTCCTTTTTTTAACTAAGCTTTCTCTGGTTGAAAGGGTTTATGAACTGGCCAAAGAACTATATGCCTTTGAAAAACTACATAAAACAGCAGATCAAGCAACTGACACAAAAACTTTTCAAAATTAAAATATTTTAAACTGATAGCAATAAGGACCAGCACTTGAAACTGATGTTCATAATCTCCAATTAATCACCCAAAAAAATAGCTAACATACCATCTTTGCTGGCACATTCAAAATGCAAGTATGAACCCAAAATTCAGACTTGTTGGTCCAACACTAAACCCTAGAAGATTTGTGGACACAAACAAACAATCATAAATTCTACACCAGATATTTCTCAAAACCCACCCTGCAAAACCCCAACCATCCACAATATCTCATTCTTCTTCCAACAAACAAAAGAATTAACAAAAACAAGAAAACCCCAAAACAGAAAACTCTTCTGCATATATCTTCCACCAAAACAGCAAACTCACACACTCCCCTAAAAACCCTAATCCTCCAAAACCCATTTCACAAAAACAAGAAAACTCTAAGTCCAATCTCCCCTACCCATCAGTCAAAGTTTCAAACTACACCCTATTAGCCAGTAATTAAAACACTCTGAAAATATATCAGGCCATGATAGTGTATGCCAACCCTACTAAATCTGGAATTTTGAAGAGAAAACATACACAGCATATCCAACTAATAGTATTAGTCATTAGATTACCAGATAGCTCTTTCACTGCTTCCTCAGGATCCAACACTTCTGGGTATGAAATAGCCGATAGCCGAGGAGAAAAGCCAAGGAGGAGGAGGAGGAGGAAGAGGCGCAGACAATCGAAAGAGCAGAGGCGGAGGCAGGGGAGTAGAAGAACGAAGGAGGGAGGAAGCGTAGGCCGTAGACGATCAAAGGAGAAAGGAGAAAGGAGGTGATGTCGTTCTAAACCCGTGGTTCCCCTCAGGTTTTTGCTGCATTGTTATCCAATAGGAAATATGAGTCCTAACCCGTCCTGTTGTGCATTTAAGCTCACCAAACGACGGACAGGATTGTAATCCATTTTAATTGAAAAACTCTTGTCCAGTCCAGCTCACCAAACAAGCCCAAAAGGATTAGGAATTTAGGACCGGGTACCACTCGATGCACCAGACCCCTACAATTACATTTCTTTGGAATTTTACCATCTCTGTTGTCCACAATATGGATTCGTAGGTCATCTCCTCCTTCTAGAAGATTATAGATCTGGGTAGTAAATTTCATTTGTGATCTTTGTGCTTGAACCAATATTCTTCTGTCCTCCTACCCATCTCTAGCAACAACATTCCAAAACAATAGAGTCTAAAATTCCTAGAGAA